TCATCCGAGAGGACAATGTTAGCTTTGACTTGAAAGAGGTGTTTATGGATGAGTTGGGTAAGGAGAAGTAACGCAGGTGACTTTAAAAGGGGAGTTTGGGAGGATATGGTAGATCCGATGACACGTATGGGGCTGGAAGCAGCGAATGGGATGTTGCATTTCGAAAATGATACCCAAAAAGGGATCAAGTGTGAGTTCAGTCATGTTAGCTCTTTCTGTTATGTGAGCTAGCTAGATAACTGTGGAAGAGCTCTAACCAAAATCACAAGAGCGATGATGCATTGTGGGTGTGGGATTGTGAGAATACGTTAAGGATCCTGAAGCAAATCGGGGGCGCAAAAAGGTATCTAAGCAAATGGGGTCAAGTCCACACAAGAGTCGATCCCAATATGAATAACAAGTCGAAAGCTAGACTGGATCGTTAGGAACTGGGATGAGAATCCGACTATCAGAGCCGTAACTTGCCTCAGAAGGTCACACAGGCGACTGGCCAAACGCCAGTAAAATGCAAAGAACGTAAACTTCACACCTGTCTTCACGTGTGGAAATCAGATTTGACCAGGGAGTTTTGTATTTCTTTTCAGCAAATTGTCTCCTGAATACCCTGAGGGCAGCATGATCGATCGAGTACATATCCAAGAGGTAGCTTGGATTCAAGCAAGTGTAGCGTCGGCAGATACCATGGATGCCTTAGATGGTAGCTTGAGCCAACGATTACTAGAAAATCATACGTCAGAAGATGACTCGCAACTTTGACCGAGAAGGGGCATGAGAACGAACCTTGCATTTTGACTTGGGAGGCACAGGCCTGACGGTCATGAAAAGAACATTGTTTTTCCGAACTTGATAGCCAACAAATATCTGACCTGGGCCATCGACCTTTCTGTTGCATTCCTTGCATCTCGACTGAATGTCCTTGAAATGAGGAAGCCCCATGAATATCATCTTTTCGGCAACTCGCATCTGAGTTGAATACTTCTCTTGTGGTATATAGAATGAGGCGTACATCGTGGGCTTTGAATTGTGCTCAAGACTTGATCAGTAATGATAAGTCAATGCTGACGTTCAGCTCGTGCTCCATGCTTCTGAGACATGTCTAGAGATGCACGTCTGGACAAGGGTGATGACGAACCTGGAGTGTCTCGATGTATGGCGTATACAATAATTGCGGAAGCGGTTTTGGCAGTCTCTGTTCCGATCAGGGGCTCGTAAAAGTCCTCCGGGGAAACGTCAGAGTTCTGGAAAGGGGACGTGCGATGTGATCCGGGAGTTGAGGGGGATTGAGTTCATATCGGACGAGCCATGGGTAACCTGCTGGTGGAGAAGTCAGATGAGAAACTTGTACGCATACACAAGTAACCGTTGGTATTCAGATCTAACGGCATGATTCGTTTTCCCAATGGTTGGAAACTTGCAACCCTATTGATCGGAAGACGTTACCCTTGGATCTTGAAGGTGGTTCGCATTGGCAGCATTTTGATTTTCCATGACTAGAGATAATACCACACTCTATTCCTGCCCCCTGACGCTTGGGTTGAGCCATTCTTCGATAATTCAAAATGCTCCAAAGAAGTCATATTCAATGACCTGTGGCAAAACGTGTCTTTGTGCAACAAAATAACTGCCGAAAGGAAGAGAAAAAGAACGACCGTCAGTCATACAGTCTCTGATAGCGAAGCAGTTCCTACCGAAGAAAGCACTCCAACGTCTTTGTGCCACGTTACTGCTTGTATACATCCACTTCATCCAATCTAACAGCAATCAAATCAACTGCCGGTTAATTGAGAACGAAAATTTCATGGAATCGGTCCGATGAAGGCACCCTGAAAGGGTACCAGAGTATGTGGTTTGGCTTGCCTATTGTCAAGGTGATATGGTCACACAATCGGTTATGCAGAAGATTGCTTGGCTAGCAGTTCCTGGGAATCGATGAGTACGCGTAGCTGAGCATTCCATAACCCCGGGCAGCGCAAAGTGAGATCTCAAACTGGTAGCTCTTGCGAATATGTGTAGGAAGGACAATGTGCAAGGGTCAAGGTCATATTTAAATGCTTCGACACCCGCTCCCAAGGGATGTCGCTGAGATAGACGCAGCTCAGAGACAGATGGCGGCGGGCCCGATTGTTGTCAATCATCAATGAGTCAATTTCGGGATGGTGTTGGTTCAGGTAAGAAGCCTCGTTATCATGTTCTATGTTGCGTTTGTGTATAACTGACGGGTTGAAAACAGTGCTTGCGAGTGAGGGCATCGACGATCGTTTGGTGGCTCAAGAAATCGGATTGCCTGCGATTGATGAGTACTTGTCCTTTCATAGACGGTTAGGCACCAAGCTTGTACCTCTGTTAGATCTGGGCGAACTAGGGCTGCCCATTTGGTCTGATGGCCTTGGTTCACCCCAAGCCGCCTCCAATGTTGGAGTATCGTCTTACTCGCGCTGATCACATCACAATCGCTGGATTGGCCGTGCCTCAGGAATCGACGCCATCACCGCATTTTGTCGCCAACATTAACTCGAATAATGGCTGAGAGAGTGCGCGAGTCTGCTGTAATCAGACTGATGCTGTCGTGGCTCCCGCCGAGTCCATCAGTACAGGGATCTATGCTGGCCTGCCCCCAGATTAGTTTGTACTATCAGTCGTCATGCGTGTCAGCTAATCAAATCCAAGAATAAACGAGACGAAGCACTACTGACGTGACAAAGTGTAAGATGGTCGTCATTTGATGATCCGGGCGGAATCGTTATCTGCTTTGATGTTTTTTTACGAACATCGCCAAGACGCGGTCGTACTGGGTATCTCAAGTTCATGCACGGTAGTGCAACGACTTCGTACAGCACTGGGTACGGTCATATGATATCGGCAGTTGTTTTTTTTTTGGATTCAACATGTGTTGTTAGTGGCGAGATGGAAAATCACAAAAGGCCGTTGCGTTGTAGGGGGAAGACGGCAAGGTGCATGAGCGACGAAGTGGGACTAAAGCTCAGAAGGAGCCAGGGAAGAGGGCGGGAGCTTGTTGAGGAAAGTGGATAGTGCATTTCGACTGCCTGAGAGGCCCCCGGACACGGTTGGTTCCTCTTGCCTTAGCAAATATCAAAAACATGCTATCTTTCATCTCCTCTCCCAACAACTGCTCGTGACCACTTTCACTGCCTAAACTTGCACAACAACAACAACAATAACATCATGTTTCAAGTGAGGCTGTCCCTAGATTGCTAAGGGTGCGTCGCAAGCATGTCGAGGGTTGCAATAACAAACACTCCAGCATAGGCCGATTCTCCCTTCCGCGGTGTCTACAGGCGCTACCTGCCAATGATCAACCATCGGGCTTCAGTTTCTATCATCCTCGCTCTCTCCATCCACCAGGCTTCTATGTCATGAGAACAAGTTGAAGCCTTGAGAGCCTCAAGCAACCAACATGAATATCAATTGCCTCGCGAATTCTCCGATATTGTGACATGTTCGTAATCTGAAGCACAAGAGCAACTGGCCCATTGTTACTGCTACGCGCTAACAATAGATGCTGACAGAAATAGATCTCCATTAACGCAAATCGCCATAAGACATTGTGCTTATAATCTAGGAGGTCTTTTGACAAACACTGCACTTGTCCTGGGTCCAGAAGACACCTTGACCAATTACATGGTTGCCTTGCCGGCACTGAATTTGAGCGCCGCAAACAACCTTCAGCTTCGTCAAGAACGCCCGGTTAGATCTCTCAAGATCAAAGAACGACTCATACAAGCTATTGCTCAGCGAGTACAGAAGATGAAATAGTCAAAGCATGCAACTCAAGTGATCAAGCTACGACATTCATCGCTACACGAGTACAATCACAGTCACAGCATGCAGAGAAAATGAGGCTCAAGGCTTGAAACCTGAACCCCAATGCTTTCTGTTTGGTGGCTGCCTCATATCTTTCAGTGCTGTCTGAGATGAGGAAAGGGTTGACTAACCAAGAGGGAGGGTGGTGCCAATACCATTACTTGAGTTCAGTCAGACAACTAGCAAGATGTTGGATGAGCCAATGCTGTGAGTCTACTCCGAAAGCTCTCAAGTTTGTAGCTGTTAAGAACCTGACTGCCATTGATTGCTGAGGGAGCTTGCCGTCAATTCCACCAAAGGAGCTTTAGTTACGGATCCCAACCATACTCTTCCATGGCGTCGACTCGTGGCTGATTCCTCTTTGGCAAAGTTGAGATAGCAGCGAGGTTTTGGCTGCGCCCCATCGTCTACCACGCTGGTAGAGGGAGCCAACGTGTACAACCAGGCAACGTTGGTGTCCTTGGCTCCCGAAGTATTACAATATCAAGCATACTATGGAAGTCCAGCCTGCGTGTAACTTAAGTGAACAGAGCTACACGAAAACAACTGGATTAAGTCTCTAGCGATTCTACCTGATCTCGGCTAATTCATGCCTTGACCTCAGTATCGAGGATTGGGGGGGGGAGGGGCGCTGAGCCCAAAGGTATATAGGATTGGCAATCTCCCCCGATATACAGCTGTCAAAACGCAGTTTGAGGAACTCTCTTGAGTAAGTTCCGATATTAATCGACTCAAAATTCTTTTGAATCATCGACGTATCTTAGTATACATTCACTTTGGCAAGTACACATATTCTTGTCACGCATCTAGTCTTCCCACGAATATCTGGGAGACTATCATTTCCATAATACACTCTTACCAATCTTTCATTATGGGCAGCGGCAAAAGCAGCGGCACTCGGAGTAGTAAGAGTAGCAGCACATCTCGTCCGGAATGCAAAGAACACAAGTGTCATGAGCAGGTAGCGAAATTTAAGCCTAGTAAGGAATATTCAATCTACTGCGATAAGCGTGAGCACAACCCCAAAGTTCCTACGGAATCAGAGACTCATTATTATTAGATGCTTGTAAATTCGGACCTAGGTGCAGGGTTAGCAAGCGTTCAAAAGATAAGTTCTGTACCAACCGTAAGTACCTAGCCTGCCGATTCCTCTTTGTAAGACGGCTGACTCCTTTTAGACTCTGAGTGTGATTGGCATAGATGCAATACAAAAGTCTTGGACGTCGAAGGAGGCGACTTTAAATACTCTGATATTGGCCACGCCATTTGGCTCTGTCGCGATCGTAAGTCACTTTCCCCAGGCCGAGTCCCAAGCCCAGATGCTGATATTCCTAGACTCCTGTAAGGCGAAAGATAAAGACAAACAATGCTATGAGCAGCGCGACAAGAACTCGCAATATTGCACAGAACACTCCAAAGAGTTTCAGTGCAATTTCCCGAAATGCGATTCCGACCGGGATGATTTTTCACGTTACTGTGAGCAACACCATTGTGAAGTGGCTGACTGCCACCATCGAACATTCATCTTACCTCGAGATATGGTGGGTCGAGATGGACGGCGGTGCATTCGACATCAACGTTGTATTGCCCCCGGAGATTGCAAAAGTTACTCTCTTTTGGATACCGAGGGAACCCCAACGAAGCTCTGTGCGAACCATGGCAAATGCCAATTTTTACATGGCTGCGACGCAATTGTCCGAGACTCGAGATTCTGTACTGAGCATCAGTGTGATCAACTGAACTGCCTGCAGCCGCGGGATGTTCATAACAACGTGACTATGAGATGGTGTTATATGCGTAAGTATCAGATTCCCATGTCTTTACAATGCTAACAGTCCGATGTAGATCGATGCTCTGCCCCAGGATGCCCCCACTGTGCTGAAGGTCACGGCCACGCCCACTCCCCGAAATGCTTCCGACATACTTGTCAGAGAGGAGACTGTTCAGAAATTGTCAAAGACAGCAATCCCAACTCTCATTTCTGCCAGACTCATGCCTGTGCCGATCCTGCATGTCCCAGTGAGTCAACAATACCTGGCGGGTATTGCGTGACCCATGCATGCACCATACAAGGCTGTCGTGCGCCCCGAGAAACAGGCACTCCATTCTTCGCCTCCTTCTGTAGACTCCATGGGGATGAGAGACAAGCGGAACAAGAGATACACTATGTGTACACCGCTGCTCCTTCTCGAGCAACATCTCGCTCGGGTAGCAGGGCCGATAGCTATGTCGACCATCGGCGAATGCCGAGGAGATATGTTGACCAGGAATACCATTACCCAACATATCGGGATCCGGTCCAGTCTGCAGAGGCTTATCGTCGATATGTTGGCATGGACAGAGAGTACATGGCAAGGCCAAGAGTAAATTGGGCGGACTATGAACCGTACCCTTAACCAGGCTAAATTCACTGAAAGGCGTCCTTAGGGTCTCACACAAGACGGGGATTCGGGGAAGAAGATTTTGGTGACTGGAATATGACAAGGAGTTAGGGTGGATACGCCACAAGTCATGAACAGCACATAGCATTGCGGTTACATGATATACTGTTTCTTGAGGGCAGGTTATAGGTTGTTCAAGCATAGTTAGATAGATAGATACAGCTGGACCTAATGGGTTCGAGACCTGACCATCTGGTTCACAAGGCTCGATGTGGGGAGGGCGGCAGGGAAGCCGTGTAGTACAGCATATACTCGAGAAGACCCCAGTAGATGTCAGATGTTCTTGGATTTAAGCTTAGTTATTTATGTCTTGATAAGCTATTGATCCCTGCTGAAATGTGATGAAGCCTGCCGAGTGTAACACGGGACAGTTTGGGGTGACTCCTGAATAGGTAGGTGAAAGAGCCGTGAGAAGAGTAGGTAGTGGAGACGCTTGTTGAGTCTTGAATATGGCCTCGCTTCTAATCCAAGTATCTTCAGAATGTCTTTCTTGGAAATGGCTTTCTTTCCTTCATAGATGCCCTTATTCTCCATGTTTGCATCGGTCGGGCATGACGTGCTTGTGTTTCGGGAGGAGAAGCTGAGTCAGCTACATTTCCGCTGACGTCTGGGTATTACATCGTCATCCCTCGATTTCTCATTCATTTCATCGAGGTGCTTTCAAGAGTCGTTTCGATCACGATGCTCCCTGATACGCCAGGTAATATCCGTCTCTTCGGTAATCTCCTTGGGTGTCTTCTTAGCGATCGCGCGCGGGGGCTTAGCCTGCTTGTGGGAGATCGTGTCGGGCTTCTTGAAGATACGTGGCTGGATCTTGGGCCCGCAGATGGGCCTGTTGATGATCCGGCCGTTGCAGTCGTAGATCAGATTTGAGTACCCAGGGTAAGGGCCGTTAAGTCTAACACCTGAGAGACGGAGCCTTTGGGCTTGGAGTCCTTTGTTGATGGCCATCTTGTCTGCGGTTTTGTGATTTTGTGATGGTTTAGTGGTAGTGAATTTGAAGGTCAGATGATGAAGATAGAAAGTTTTTGATTCTTGTGCTTGGGAGATGAGCGTATTTATACCCTTACATAGATTTTCAAGTCGTTTGTATGAAAGTTTGGTAGTTTGACTTCGTTGTGAGTTGTGATGTAAGAGCAAAGTATAACGATAGAATCCTCACGAAAGTTTACAATAGACTGTGATGTCACAGCATCAATAAATGTATCTAAACAACTCGACGCATTTTGTTTGCAATTTAACTTGTATTAATGCTATTGGGCAACTGCAGAAAATGGGTTGCTTTCTATGGCAGGCTACGATTTTGATAGGCCACCTCGCAATATATTTCACAAAGAAACTTCAACCTTTATAGAAGATACCCAATACCAGCACAACAGGTGTCGAAAGCTTTTACTTCTCAGTTTGCCCTAAGGGTTTTCACTTACGTCAAACTTGCCCTTTGTATACACGGCAAAGAACTGAAAAAGGATAAACGCCCCAAACTTTTGGTTTATCACCTCTTCTTCCTAATGAAAGCTCAACTTTTGTGATACCTTTTAGGCATCTGAGATCAGTACTCTTATTTTGTAAGCAGAGTTGACTCAAAGAAACCAATCTTGTAGAGTAGCTAGGCAAACACAGGGCCGAGTGAATAAACTACAATCGTCTACCATAGCTGCACACGGCGACTCCAGCAAAATAGTTTTATCACATTACCCTTTCGATTATACTGCCGAATCAGGAACAAGAACTAACTCCCCCGCGTCTTACCTCTACAGCAAAACCACAGATTATGTTCCATCGGCAGACCATCGTCACCGAGGCAATTTGGTGAAAATTTGGGTTCATGAAACTGGCATGGCTGCTTTTTGGGCCAGTCTTCCCGGGGTTCTGTGAGAGCTTCGTGGAGTTTGTTTCTGACTAGGAAGTTCTATATAAAATGGCAAGGCATAGGTAAGATGGCCTTGGCCTTGTTGAGACATAACGTGGTTGCGGTACCTTCCCTGGACAGGAGAATCTTAACTTGGGCGATGGCGCCTAATTTTTCCTTGAAATGTGTTTGGCAGATGAAAAATATTGAAATGACAAGCTTTTTGCTTGAAATGCTCTGGAAGTACTTTAGTTACTGAGACTCTTTTATCATTCTGTTACCTGGCGAGGAATTATCATGAGCTTTTAACGGCCCTTCTTTTATCTCCTAATCACCATATCAATGAGCTTACCTCGATACCATCCGCACGACGTCCTTGACCGAGATCTTAGGACAACAATAGCAATTCAACAACTCACTAGCAAACCTCAATTTATTTCTCGATACAAGTCTTGTGCTCCAAGTACAGCAAGAATCGTCAACGGCGATCAGATGTTGACTTCTTTTTGACATACCCTAGACTTTAGGCCATGGAGAAGCGGGGACAGGGAGGTTTCAGGGCACTTTCCTCTCTCAACCGCCACCATCGTCAGGTATGACTTCAGACGAATGTCTTACTATGCCAATGCAGAATAGAGTTCAATCAATCTCAGATCGAACCATCCCCCAAAGCACGATCCATCCTAAGACCGACAATTCACATGCAGCTCCCGAAAGCCTGGGACTCCAAAGTGGAGCAGTCCGGCTTCCCCCCGATCCGAGAAGTTGGGCGAACAAGCCCGTTTCAGCTCCGCCAAGAACGATCAAGCCAAGCAATATTAATCAATGCTATACATATAAAACAATCATAAGTCGTTGAGATACGGGGTACTATCAAATTTTTACAAGGCTAGTGTAGTAGTATGGCAGCTATGGCTGTTTTGCTTGCAGGTTTTACCAACGTCACATCCCGGTATCGTCCCAGATCTGAGACAGATCTGAAAACAGCTGGAGTTCACCGTACCAAACATTTGATGAAGATGTGGCCGAAGAAGCAGTCTTGAAGAAAGGAAAGAATCGAGTGAAAGAAGGGAAATAGAGTTTATAAATGTCTGTGATTATGTGAATGGCCTCATCGTCAGCTCACAAGTCAAGCTGCTCATCAATACCGCGCGCTTAAGGAATACCTCAATTGGTCCCCAAGTTCCAGAGTCGCAGATGTTTCAACCAACGAGACGCATCCGCGACCGGGTCGTCTTGGCCCCGACCTCAGTGAATCGCAGGCCTGACACTCTAATTGGCTGAAGCTGTGATGGGTGGTGTAACCCCTGTAGGGTCTCATGCACCAGCTGCGAGATGTCCTTCTCTTTTGTTGGAGCCATTCGCTCTTCTTCAAAGAACGAGCCTCTTGCTAAAATCTCTCTTCATTCTTTTCTTTTCCTCGCTGGCGAGTGATTTAATAACCTTAACATTTCTAATTCGAAGGATTTGCTGCAACCCTCTATTGCAACTCTACCACATCCACACCTGAACCTCCACCAATCTACACCACATACACCTAGACATTCACACTTACACCCCCGCAATGGGTAACAATCTCTCCTCAACCTTCATCCCCGACACTTCGGGCGTCGTCCTCAGTCCCCCAGACCGACACGCAGACATGTTCCTCGGTATATTCTGGGCATCGTCACTCTACGCCTGCGCCATGATCTTCAGCACCTGCGCTCTGATCGACCGATGGAAGGGTCCCTACGATCGCGTTAGAACGTCTCTTGGTTCAGTTATGGGAGCCTTGTTATTATCGACGGCCTGGCCTGTTGTCATGGCATACTTGATCTTTTCGCCGGCTGATGTCGATTAAGCGGATGAACCATTCGGTTACGGCCTTGGGAATAAGTACTTGGGATGAGATGGACTGGGCTGGGCAATTGGCGTCTTGAGAATTGTGGTGGAAATGGCATTACGGTCAGACCTGGAGTTTGAATGCATACCACGGCGATATACCATCTAATACAATTTTTTTTCTATGTTTATCATATTTGATCGACTCATCTTGCTCTGTGGTTGATGATCCCTCCTATCCGCGTGAACCGAGTCCCTCATGACCCCCATGCAAGTCTCATTACAGCAACCGCAGTTACCCATTAACATCTAACCCACCAGAGTATTTCGACGGCTTCTATCAGATCGCGCATCCTTTCTTCCGATGATCGTCTCAAGCGCCTGCGTCAAAGCCTTGGCATCATATCGCCCGCCTCTTCCCTTCTCATCTTTCGGTCCATACAATCGTGTCGCATCGATACCCAACTGTGTAAACAGTTGTTTATCTACCTTGGGCGACGTCGGACCTTCGATGTAAATGACATGCGACACATATTGACTGTACTCCTCCTCTGTGGGTTTGGGCAGACCTCTTGAATCAGCAAGAGCATTTGAGATAGCTCCGACAAAGTCCAATCCTGTGAACGGCGCTGTCGATGGACCTGTCTCGCGATCGGTGGTACCGTTGAGAATAAGGATCTTGTTGCGCACTTGTGGGCTGACGATCGCATCGCCGACACCACGGAGAACAAGACTTGGAATTAGCGATGTGAAGAGGGAGCCGATGCTGTACACCACACTGTGCACCGATCGAAGCGCGTCGAGGACTCTTGGGTTGGCGGGCATCTTGATCTCCTCGCCATATGGGTTGATGTACCATACTCGCGCGATCCTTGCGGGTAGGTCTTCTTCTTGTTCTTTTGAGAATGCAATGGCCGGTCGGCGCAACGCGGGCAGGGTGCCTGGTAGGTTCGCATCTTCTACATGGTGGTGATCTTGGTCCCATGGCTGGTCCTGTCGCGACACGGTTGGGCTGTGTACACCAGCTGATGCTCCTGGTACAGCAGCGGTTGGAGCGCTGGGATGCGAGATGTCGTTCTGACCTGTGATTATCGTGCCATCTTCGAGGCCAGCAGCAATATGGCTAGCAAAGTTCGTGTTTAGGGCTGGAAGGACCGCTATTCTATCTGGCACCGAACAGATTGAACTCAATAGGTAGATGGCAGCCTCGAAGCTACCGGTGAAAAGGCGGGCGCCAGTGAGGAAGAGGTTTCCAATACTGGCTCCAGAATAGTCAAAGCGACTACTGGGCTTCATGCGCTTCACAACTTCAAGATTGAAGCTATTCAGATAAGATCGAATGAGCTCCCTCTTGGGCGACGAGATGTCATCCCACAGAGGATGCGTCGCTTCTAGAATCTCAAACCATTCTGATCGCGCCTCAGTGTAGACCTTTGGCAAGCGATGATTGAAGAAATGCTTGATAGCTTTCGTCTCAGGACTTCCATCATTCGGAATAAGACGAACGAGTCGGGACCTCACATCTCCGATACCTAGAACCCTGTTAGTCAACTAACCAGTAGCTTGTTAAAGAGCCACGTGGAATGGGACATACCAGGTCCACCAAAGACACGAATGATCTCACTACTGCTACCGCCATTATCAGAAATGGGTATCACATAGCTCAGCGTGCATTGATTCGCTTCTCGAACGCTCTCGAAGACATCGACGAGGTTGTTAGCGGCGCTACCACCCGAGAAGACCACTATGCCCGTCGGTGGTGCCGCTGGTGTGAGGGGCCGGCGAGGGGTTGTTGGTGCTGAGGATCCACTGGAGCTTGGGAGCTGTAGACCAAGGCCGTTAAGGTTGATCTGTGCCATTGATGGTCGGGGGAATTATGTGATTTTTGTTCTTTGGGGGGGGATGGGAAAGAGAATCTGGAGATGGTGTTGATGACAGATGACAGTAGCGGGGCATTTCGATTGTAAGCCCCGGTAACGTTATTGCTTGATGACCCAATTATTTCCAATTGCAACGGTTCACGGTTGAGAATTCATTCCAATTGATGAAACAATTACTTCAATTTTACAGTGGCTGTAGTTATTCTGATCTGAATACGAGGCTGTTGCTGCCAAGATGCCATGTTCCAAGCTCATGCACATACTCAATCAATGCATGAACCCACGAGTCATGGAACAACGTGGCACATGCTCCAATGACTTTTTTTCCAACATCCAACGTCAACATCAACACCATCTCACCCACCAAAAGCGGTAACACCCCGAGCAACCGGCGGCTCTCACACTTGAACCGGGAAGAAGCTTTGATACTTCGGATCCGTGTGGGTACAGCGGTCGGTGGACCGCAAAAAAAACATGATGGCTTCATATCGAAAGAAACATGTGGAACTCGGAATTCTTAGTCCAAAGCCCGCCATTGGTTCCCATCGCCCGGCAGTTGAACCTTTGCCACAACTGGAGAAAGCTATCACGGTAACGTCAAGAGTTACGTCAGTGAGTATGGGACACAAGGCTGGAGATGGGTTACAAATCTCATGCACAGACGTTGGTTCCTTACAAATCTGCATGTTTCGAGAATTTAAAGGTTTTATTTAAAGATTTTTTATCTGATCGATTGAAGAGTATATAAAGCCTAGATAGAGGCGCCATTGACAGTCGGTATCAACATCAATCTCATACAACAGTACACTTGACTTTCACACAACAACATAGCTTCATATTCACAATGGCTCAATCCATTCCCAAGACTGTCAAGCAATGGACCATCCCCTCCCGTGATGGAAAGGACTTCAGCGGTCTGAAGTTCAGCGAGGAGTCTGTTCCTGAGCTCGGCGACGGCCAAGTCCTCGTCAAGAGTAAGTCCCAACTTCAATTCACACTCCTAGCATCTTCTAACACTTCATAGTTCAAGGTGCTTCCCTCAACTACCGCGATCTCATCCTCCCTCTCGGAAAGTACCCTTTCCCCGCTAAGGACGGCGTCGTCCCCGGCTCCGATGGCGCCGGCACCGTCCTCGCCGTCGGCAAGAACGTCACCCGCTTCCGTCCCGGCGACAAGGTCGTCACTCTCTTCAACCAAGGCCACATCGGCGGATCTCTCGACCAACTCAGCATCCAGACCGGTCTGGGTGGTGTGACCGATGGAACTTTCCGCACTGTCGGTGCTTTCGATGAGCAGGGTCTTGTCCGCATGCCTTCTAACCTCGACTTCCACGAGGCTGCTACTCTCACCTGCGCTGGTCTCACTGCCTGGAACGGTCTCTACGGTCTCGAGGGCAAGAAGCTCCTCCCCGGTCAGTGGGTTCTCACTCAGGGTACTGGTGGTGTTAGTATCTTTGCTGTTCAGTTCGCCAAGGCTGCTGGTGCAAAGGTCATTGCTACTACCAGCTCTGCTGAGAAGGCTAAGCTTCTTGAGAAGCTTGGTGCTGACCACATCATCAACTACCGCGAGACTCCTGAGTGGGGTGCTAAGGCCAAGGAGCTCACCGGCGGTGCTGGTGTTGACCACATCATCGAGGTTGCTGGTCCTACATCCATGAAGCAGTCCCTCAACGCCATCAAGATCGACGGTGTCATCTCCATTATCGGCTTTGTTGGCGGCACTGATAAGAGCGACCCTGGTTTCCTCGACTGCCTTTCTAACCTCTGCACTACCCGAGGTCTACTTGTTGGAAGCCGTGCTCAGATGGAGGATATGTGCCGTGCTGTTGAGGCCAACCCTGATAAGCTTCGACCTGTCGTTGACCCCAAGGTGTTCACTCTTGAGCAGCTCCGCGAGGCTTATGAGTACCAGTGGTCTGGCAAGCACCAGGGCAAGGTCTGCGTCAAGATTGAATAAGCGATGAATTATGAGAAAATACTACCGGACGACATGTGTCGTTGGCTTTAACGTATAATATATAGAATTAATAGATACCACGTTTTTCGCACGTCTCAGCTTCGTCCATCTAAGCAAGATTTTTTTACTAAGCACTGACAAGGCATGGCTCAGGGCAGGTAAACAGTGAAGCTGAGCGAGTACATCAATGCTTCTCAATTAATTGAAAGTAATTACATTCCCTCGGACACTCAAACGTGTCACAGCTCATCTACCGAGACTATTCGCGCAGTCCTCCAACCATATTCCTCCATCTCAGGCCATCACTCTAATCTAGCAAGCAGCCTATCTCATTCTCGCGACAAAGAAAACGTCGCTGTATCAAAAGATGAGCGCAGCGACACCAGCCAAAACACCAACCAAACTGAACTTCTTCAACGATCCTTCATTGACAATAACCGTGCTGGGCGTAGGATAAGGTGTTCCGGGCACAGGAACCGGCGCAACGGGGCTTGGAACAACAGGAGGAACGGAGGCCGTATCAACGGGAGGAGGAACAATAACAGCAGTCGAAGATCCCTCCAAGACAGGAGACTGAGTCTCCGCGCCGCCTCCACCCTGAACAATAGTAGTCGTATCGGCACGGGTAGTACCACCACCCTCGCCATTGCAGATACTGCCATTAGGACAGCATCCGTACTGCTGGTTCGTTCCGACTTCGCAGTAAGCTGTAGGAGGACATCCGCCTGCGCGGCTGGGGCAGCATGTCCAGTCGAGTTGAATGCAGCCGGTGCCGCAGTCTTTGAGTTTCTGGTCGGCGCAGGGAACCTCTACGACTTGACGGACTGCGAGGAGGGGAAAGCTGGGGGAGTATTGAACGGCGAGAACGCCGGTGGCTGAGAGGGCGATGAGCAAGAACTTCTTCATGTTGAACTTGAAGTTGTATGTGTTGGAGCGAGTGGTGGTGATGTTGGAACGAGTGACGATATGTTGAAACTGTATCTGTTTGAGAGTGTGGTGAGAGGTGAAGAGAAATGCGAGACATACCAAGCCCTCGGGGGTTTATATGCATACCATTCTTCCCAAAGAAAACTTTGCCATCCGATCTTCTCTCTTCATTGTGTTCCTCTCTCATGCCGCGTGCGGCGGCTTTGCTCAAAAACGCCAGGCATTCCAGCCACGATGCGTCTACTCCACCACCCGCAACCATCTACTCCCCCAAGATCATTTCCAATTCCAACAAAGTGTCAAGCCCTATATCGCGCAGTCTCTTCTATTTTTGAACATCTGGATCTGATGTTGCTGGAGAGATGAAGTGCCTCTTCCCCACGTTTTTCGATGCGCCCGGCGTTTTGCAACTTTTCTGATAGCCGCCTCCGGTTTTTGCGGCGCATGGCTTGATATTCAGGGCAGATTACCAGAATCTGTGATTTGCGACGGTCGGCGTTTGGGTGGCTGCTTGCGGCGGCGCTGGGGTAACGAATCTTGGTTCCTGGTGTTTGAGCTTGGCGTTTAGGGGATCTGAATTGACGGAATACGAGATCTGAAGATGAGATGTTTCGGAAGAGTCTATTGTGCCAAGGCTAGTGAAGAAAGTAGTTGATGTCATTGGAGATCGGCCAGGAACAAACGCGGGTTTGATCTGGACTTGGCAAAGGACTAAAGAAGGTAGATCTGAGACAAAATATTTGCGGTGCAAGCTGAGGTGGCTAGGCCACGGGCCCAAAAGGGAGTTCCATCCACTGAGGGTTTAGGCTATCTCAGCTCGTTACAGACGTGCAGATGATTGCCATGTAGTTTGTAACTTGTAAGGGCTTCTGATATAAACACATCCATGGAAGCAAACACTTTAGGCATAAGAGTTGGAAGTATGTGCCTCTGCTTAGAATCATGCTATCAAGAGGATGTGTCATTGCTGTCTTTGAAACGAATAGGAAATCAAGACACGAGGCACGAAGTGTTCCCAACCCTACTTCTTCTCACTCCCCCAAGCATCTTCCAGAAATTCCCGGACAGTAATAGGCTTGATATACGGGAAGACATTATTCAGAGCCTTGCTTTCATCCAAGTTGAAACCACCACTCTCTGCCCACAAACCATAGGCAGCCATCACCTTTTTCATAACCGCCTTGGGTGCAGGTACTCTGGCAAACATCGCCTCATGGCCTGGCAGCTCACTCAACTCTCCAGTCTTCAACTTCTCAACACTATCATAAGTAACAGTGAACTCATCACCTACTGAAAGTTAGCATCCATAGCTCCAGTCTAGAAGCTCATCACGTACCTGTAGCCTCTTCGGCAATCTTCACCAACTCATTGAATGTGACTTTATCACCAATAATATACGTTGCTTTCTCCCACTTGTCGAGGTTAAGAAGCGCAGCAACGAACTGCGCTACATCTCGGCTATACGTAAACGTGACGGGAACGTCTCCGGACCCTGGGATGGCAGCGGCTCGATGTTTGATATCGACAAAGGTCGAAGGAGTGTGTAAGTTTGATTTCGCAGCAGATTTAGGCGAGCCCCAGAAATCAAGAAAGAAACCGATATGGATCGATGTCCATTCGAGGTTTGTCTTTCTCAGCTCGTCTTGAGCACGAAGTTTGTTGTTGGCTGAATTGGCCTGAGCTGCTTGTCTATGGCTCTTTGTCAGTTGTTTATTTTCAATGCTGACAGTGAGATGATTGTCAAGTGTTTGCTTACTCTTCTGTATGGGGAAGACCCCAGTCACTCGAGATGAAGCGTTTTGTTGGGTGAGCAGCTTCTGAAGCACGGATAATATCAATCTCGATAGGTTCTGGTCCATTCATGCCAAGTGTCGAGATAACGGTGTGCACATTGTGCTTTTCAAAAAGCTGTGTCAGGGCGTTGATGTTATGAATGTCTACCGCCAGGACAGAAGCTCCAATCTCTTCTTCTAGTGACTTGTTTTCCTTTGGCTTCTCTTAGTTGAGTCCATAGACCTTCCGTATAAAAACTTACCTCTCGACTGAGGATAACGACTTTATGCTCTCCTGCGGCAACAATGGCCTCGACAATGGTTCGGCCGACTTTGCCTGTACCGCCTGCAACTGCAACAGTAACCATGATGTCTGATGATATTCTGAAGAGGGTGATTTGTGATGTTTGATAAATGATGCCTTCTAAGCTTACCCCTTCGTAGCTCAACCCGCATCTTTATATATCTCAAATCCATCTTCATCTCTGGCATATTTCTAATCACCGCACTTACTCGGACATGTCATTCTGCGAATTTTCCGTCAATTGTCAGCAATCGCTTATTTTTCGTATTCTCCCCCAATACCCATTGGTCACCCCGTCTCTAATAAGTCTGACATGCATATCATCTGCATATCAAAACGGGGCGTATCCGAATGGTGTCAGCATAGTGATTGGACCACTGCCAAATATAGGCACAGCACGCACCTAAGGCCTTTAAAGCCGAGCTACTCCGTCCTAAGCCCTTGCTTAAACGCATTGGGTAATTGTGTTGGCCGCCAATGCTTGGTTAAGTTCCAGTCAATGTCTGAGATCGATACTTGTAATCGAATAGAGTTTCAGGGCCGGAAATCTAGATCTGATCGATCCGCACGCTAAGAAAGTTATTTGAGTCGGGACAGGAACGAGACATGCCGTTGTTGTTCAACCCCTGGGCGCTTTCCGCCACTTGAAGCTGAGCTTGGAGTATAGCAATTGGGAATATTAAGCTCTGCATGATCTTGTATTACATGACATCGAGTGTAATTTGCACGGAATCCTTTTCATTGTTCTAGGTATCTGAATCAGTGTAAACTTGTAGATATAGGGTAAAGACTCCGGCTGGAATGTCACCACCAGATCGCAGTAGCTGTTTTCGTCGTCACGAAGTGAGATTGTCTCGGGAACATCGAGTGGTGTGCCATGGTGTCAAAAGCTCAAAGGCCCATTTTTCTTATCAGAATCTTATCATCAGCCTGATTATGAATCTGAGATAATAATCAAGACTTATCCTAGGTGTTGGTGAATATTTAAGATCTAAAGGTGCATGTAGACTCCAATCGTGGAAGTTATAAGCAGCTGGTTTACTGCCTTGGCTTTGACTTCTCCCTTGCCTGTTGTTGTTTTTACGTGAAAGGAGAGAGTCTTGAGGCGCCGGACTTGCTCAAAATCATAGCCGGCCAAGGATGGGAAACACACAAAGCTAAAAGTTTCATTTGGCCAGCCTTGTCTGAAGTCGACTCTACTTATATATTTTTCTCTTGATGCGACAGTCCCGAAGTCCAGGAACTCATCGCAGTGGCAGAACGATACACCAATCAGATGCCCCGGAGCTTGATGACATCGGAGTCAACTAAAGCGTTCGCTCAAGACCAATCAACTGCCCAATATTCGGAGAAGCTAATCAATATGCTTAATGGTTCTATTTATGTGTTGACACTGTCTGGCTCAGAGCATCATCGATATCTGCCAGTGCAGCTTGTCGGGCGGTGTGTTCTGTCTATTACCATCCCATGACGACAATATGCTAGCATATCTACGCTCACGATGTCAGCTTCAGCAGCTCTTACCAATGAAGGTAATCGTATTGGAACAAAAGCTCCGACTAAGCTCGAAACATTCAAATTTATCAATAAGCTGTCATTATGTCGCACATCTATGCATGTTTATTTCCATTGGGCTTGTCGATGTGTCAATGATCCGGAGATACCTCCGGTCTTGGAGTGCAGTCTATGTCTATGCTGCCATTCCGTGCCAGGTCTATCAGATATAAGTTATGGCACTACTCTCTCTCAATTTCTCGCCTTCTTTTTCTCTTATCCGCTTACTCTGATGTGAAATTAAGTACATACATACTTGAGTGATACACCATGTCTCTCAACTCCAACCAACTTGACCCCCGCCAGCACCCTCTTCAGGCTATTGGCAATGCCATTGGCGCTGAGACTCAAGGAGAACGTCGACCCCCTCGTATGAGTCACATGCAGGGTGCCAACGAGGGACCAGCTGATGTTATCGCCAAAGTCTCTGGTGCGCAGGCTGGTGGAAAGAGGGAAGATGATGGGGCGTACTTTACTAACAATGAGGGCATTCCCTTCCCTGATCCGTAGGTATAAGTGGATTCAGTTTATGATCATATACTTATTCTTTTATAGTGCGCATAGCAAGACGGTTGGAGGACTTCCTTTGGCCAGCGACACGTTCCTCTTTCAGTAAGTCTTCCTTGTTGTTACATACGTGCTGAACCTGACTTGGAGATAGGAAGCAGCAGACCTTCAACAGATCTAAGAATCTTGAGCGTAAGCATATCACGAATCACTTAAATCTGCATGCCACTGACACATGCTAGGCATGGTTCACCCTTGTGGATCTGGTGCCTTTGGATATTTTGAGTGCACCCAAGATGTGACTGAACTCACTGTAAGTCCAATCCTCAGGCCGCGATTGCATCAATGGTTACTGACTTGTAGCTCAGAAAGCCAACTTCTTGTCGTCTGTCGGAGAAAAGACTCCCGTCTTTGTCAGATTCTCTACTGTGACTCTTGGTCGAGAATTCCCAGACGAGGCTCGTAACCCTCGAGGTTTCGCCATCAAGTTCTACACCATGGAAGGAAATTACGACATTGTCGGCCTAAACTTCGTCAGTAAAGTCACCCTTTCTTTCCTCATACCAAACTGACCAAGGTCCAGCCTGTCTTCTTCTGCCGTGATCCCATTCAAGGACCAGACGTCATCCGCTCTCAATACCGCAATCCAACAAACTTCCTCCTTGATCACGACGCCCTCTTCGATCTCCTTGCCAACACCCCCGAAGCCAACCACGCAGGCCTCATGTTTTTCAGCGATCATGGAACCCCCCAGGGATGGCGCTTCAACCACGGCTACGGCTGCCACACCTTCAAATGGGTAAACTCCAACGGAGAGTTCGTCTACATCAAATACCACTTTATCGCAAAGCACGGTCAGAAGCAATTCACTGATAGTGAAGCTATGCAAATGTGCGGTGAAGATCCTGATTACTCCAAGAGAGATCTTTGGGAGGCTATTGAGAAGGGTGAGGAGATTGAGTGGACTGCTCATGTTCAGGTCATGGATCCTAGACAAGCGGACCCTGATAAGCTTGGCTTTGATCCTTTTGATGTTACAAAGGTTTGGCCGCGATCGCAGTTCCCAATGAAGGAGTTTGGAAGATTGGTGCTCAACAAGAACCCCGAGAACTTCCACCGAGATGTGGAACAGGCTGCCTTTTCGCCTGGTAGTATGGTACCTGGTATTGAAGACTCGCCTGATCCTCTTCTTCAATTCCGCATGTTCTTCTACCGCGACGCTCAGTATCATCGCATTGGTGTCAATCTGCACCAAATCCCCGTCAATTGTCCCTTCATGGCGAAGTCTTACGCGTCACTCAACTTTGACGGACAGATGCGTGTTGATGCCAACCACGCGGGCAACAAACAATATGCACCCAACAGCTTCGCTCACAAGTTCAGGCCTGATGTCGCTGAAGCGCCATACCAGGTCGGCGATAACATCGCCAGCAGAGTTAGTCACTATTGGCACGAGGGTAAGAAGAATGACTATGACCAAGCGAAGGATCTGTGGACAAAAGTCATGAGTGAGCAGGAGAAGAAGAATACTTGCTACAACACAGCAAAGGGTCTTCGTCGCGTCAAGTTTCCCGAAATCCAGGTAAGCAATCCCAGCTGTTTCAACCCAGACTTCAAGCTGACAGAAGCACAGAGCAAATATTTGGCGCAGGTGTATAACATCTCGGAGGATTATGCGCAGGGCATCTATGATCTTCTAGACCAGCCTCAGTTTGAGTTCTCCCAGGTCAAGGAACTTGCTGAGACTGCGCAGGAGTGGTATAAGGAGCCAAAGTTTAGGCCTGGCCCTGGATCAAAGTTGGCTGGATATCCTCCTTCTGCAGCCGTTTACCAAGCATGAGGGTATTGGGCATGAATTGAGTAATTGAATTACGCCCTTTATCCTGTGCAGTCCGGATACAATGCTGGTCCCATCTGCGGGATCCCGTCCGTGACTTTCTAGCCTGAATTCCTCATAAAATCCTAGACAATTTTAAATTTGTATTTTCGATTTATCCGCTCGAAACATCGTGAGGGTAGTCTATGATGCCTACAATATGCAGAATCCTGGACCAAAATGGAGATAAGCGGTGATAAAGAAGTGGAATGAGTGCCACGGCCTGTGATAATTCCGATCTGAAAAGCGAGAATGCGCGAAGGATTCAAGTACATCAGCATTTAAGACAAAATTGACTAGCTCACTCAATTACGCTCGCATATAGATCTTTGCTGTAGACTCAAGATACACAGCCTCAATTCACCTTCATCAATTGACAAACATTCACAATCATGGCCCCAACAGACGCAGAGATCAAGGCCACAATCAAGGCAGTTGTAGACGACTTCAGAGGATGGGACCTCGCACCAATAATGCACTATCCCAGTGAAGAAGGCCTCGAATTCGAAGACATCTACTTCCCCTCTGACGACGGTGTTCCTCTAGAAGGCTGGTTCATCCCCTGCAAAAGCTCCAACAAGATCATCATCGCCAACCATCCCCACTGGTTCAACCGCGCCGGGATCCCTTCGCATCTGGAACCTTGGAATCAACTCATGCCCGGGAATGACTTTGAAGTCAATTTCATTCCTGATTACAAGATTCTTCACGATGCGGGGTATAATGTCCTTGCGTATGATTTGAGGAATCATGGGCTCAGTGGAGGTGGGAATCAGGGACTCTTTGGCTTCTTTGAGTGGCGCGATGTTCTTGGATCGTTGAAGTATGTTCGTGGACGGGAGGATACGAAGGATATGACTATTGGATTGTTTAGTCGTTGCGCTGGTGCAAACGCAACACTTTCAGCGATGAGACATCGTCCTGAAGCCTTCAGGGGCGTACGATGCATGGTTGCACCCCAGCCTATATCAGCCGGCTCCTCCATCGCAGTGATGCTTGAGAAAATGGGCGCTCCAGCATCATACATGGAAGAAGCTGATCGACAGTTCTTCATGAAGACGAGTTTTCATATAAGTCAATTGTCGCCGCCGACTGATGCGAAGCATGTCAATGTGCCGACGTTTTTGTATCAGGTTCGGGATGATCCTTGTACGATGCCGAAGGATGTTCAATCTGTTTATGATAATATTCCTATCGAGGATAAGAAGTTGAAGTGGATTGAGGGGACAGAGAAGAGGTGGGATGGATATACGTATTTTCAGAGGGAGCCTGATCAGTTCTTGGAGTGGTTTGCAAAGTTCATGAACTAGATACAGCATTATTCAGTTCAATTTCTCTATCGTGATTCTATTGTATTATTATAATAACTTTAACGAACAAGAACAAGGGGTATCGTATATAGTCTGGCATGACCAGGATGTAGTAGGCATCAAAGCTTGTAAGCTCTTCTACGTTCGCTTTGTAGATCCCGTATCTCAGACGCGCATCTCTCACGCAGTCGCTCCTCACACGGTAAAATGCTCCCTTTGCAGCTGCCTCGTTGACCCCGTATCGCTAGCCACATCATCATACTCAGACCTCCTCGTCTGCTTAACAACAACCTCCGTTCTCGTCGTCTTCTGAATACCTCCCGCCAATCGGTCCACCAGCTCGATATCGTCCGTATTCGCTTCGATGAACGTAGTGTTGCCGCCAGCAAACATTGCTGATGGTACTTTGCTCTTGCCGGTCTGCTTTGAGCTCTTCTTTTGAGTGCTGTGGGATCTGGAACCGGAGTAGTCGGGGTAATCGCTGTTGTTGCTGGCCTTGACGACCTTGATGATGAGGTCGGCCATGTTCATCTCGATATGGAGCTTGACGAGGTAGGCTAGAGGGTGGAACTGGACATATCTGCAGTAATGAGTTAGCAACTGTAAGAGCGGTTGAGTTTAAATGGCTTACACGATGTCGTTTGGCAGGGACATCATTGCGATAAGAAGGATCTGATCAGAGTCAGTATGTACAACAACAGCTCAGGGGGTGGTGGAAGCATACATCCATAGTCATCGACACAGCAATCATGCCCAAGTTGAAGCGAAACAGTCGAGTGTACTTTGTCAGGCCGTTCGCAATGAGCCTCGATCACACGAGATGGATAAAGTACAGATTGAGTCCCGCATCAACCACTAAAAAAATGACTTTCTCGATTCTATCCCAGACTTTGTTGATGTCGACCCAGGTCTTGTTAACTTGCAGCCGCGCTGGGATCCAAATTGTGAAGACGCTGACATTGATGCATAATATGATAAGGAAAGAGTATATTTTGAGTCGTTTTGCGTTCTGTCGGTTGACCATGAGGATTGCGATTCGGTTAATGATGATTTGAATGAGTGCTTGAAGTTGGATACACCAAAGGAAAACTGAACACCATTAGTCCCAGCTTCAGGAACATCCTCAGCGTAACAGGATAGCATACTTAGAGTAAAGAAGACCGGAAACCCGCCGGGGATGTAATTTCGTAGATAACACCAAGTAACAGCGCTCATGATACAGCTGCTCGTCCACTCCAGCCATAATAAGATGATGTAGTGGTTCATCCTGCGTCCTCTCCGCCATGACTTGATAGTTTGTCGCATTCCTTTGACGAATGTGAAGAGACCAACACCGAGCGAGATTCCCCAGGCGATGCTTGCAATATTCATGTCATTCTCGCCAGCGTCGACTTCGATAAAGTTGGGACCCTTCCATAAGTCCCCCATGGCGATAAGTCTGTGACTAAATCAGGGTAATTAGAAGCGCTCTGCGAAGAAATCCAAAGGAGAGAAAGGACAGAAGGAATAGAAACAAGGAAACGGGCGAGATAGTAAGCAAACGATGGGAAGCCCACATACATATCCAACACAACATCGCCGCTAAGCCTTCAGATCTTGCGGATCCTGATGCCTGCGCCCAGCTAATAATGTTGATCCTATTGAAGGGTAAAAAGCACAGACGAAGCATCCATTCTCAGGATCCGCAGCGATCGATCTTCGGCAAGGGATCCCAGAGCATGAGGTGAGACTCGATCTCCGTCTAACATTTGGTTGGACCGGGGGTGGGAGGGTTTTATCCAGAGATCCTCAGGGCTGCATATCAGCTGGTGTGTCATATGGGGTTGGTGCATGGTTGTTGGTAGGAGATAGACGAGTATGCTTTTGGAGTTTTTTGCGAGTGCTTGAGGGGCACAATATCGTGGTGACATTTCGAGCGTCGTGGCAAGTCTACAGTGATATCAGCTTTATATTCGTGAAATGTCTTGACAACCCTGCACGCGAAACACTCAAATGTTCCAGAAAACGTCTTAACAAATGCTTCAGCGGTAGTACGCAACACGGATCATTGAGTGACACTCTTCCACGCGAGTCAGGTGGACCCATGTCGACGGCCGCATATTACCGCCAGGTCCTTGATTTCTGTAAGAAAAGAGATGTGCAGACTAGACGAGTTCGACACTATCGAACCTTGAATGATAAAAACGTGGTGAGTGGCAAGGAAGAAGCGAGCTGAGGTTGATGCTTTTGCGAAAATTCTCGGAGGGGAGTTGCTCGGTGAAGATCCGTGGCAGACCTGAGGAGCGAAGAAATCCAATCATGGCATTCATACGATTCATAATAAGATTTTGACAGAATGGCAAATGGAGATTGTAGACTTTTGATGTTGGTCAAACAAGGCGGTTCCTTGAATGTAGATAATTCTTCAACAAAGACGAACAGGCCAACATCCACAGCGGGTCTATCCCACTGAAGAAAATCCTACAAAAGCAAAACAACAGATCCAATCTCACACAAATGAGCTCTCACAACTGACCAAGTCTCGTCGTCTCATCTTTGTTCCCAGGTCCAAATTGCGGCTCAACATCCTCGTCGCCTCGATAGTGGACGATCAGGGTCTAACACTATAGTTATGCACCGGTGGAACGGATGTTTTCTAGCTTCAAGCCTAGAACCAATGGTCTTTGCAAGTACAGTGCACCATGAAACATGCCACGTGCGTTGTTGGCGTGTTTCGGACGCTATTGATAGCGGCCGCTGTAGGGCTTGGTGAGGATGTTGGATGTTTTTTCAGAAGTTGCAAAGCAGTTTCATGATGTTGAGAAGTTACCACTTGGGTGGAATCATGGAGACATAAGATGAAGAAAAAGGGTAGAGATATGCCCTGCAAAAAGGGAGTAGATCATCCGATTGCTACCTAACACTCACATTAACATTGGACGGATCTCGTAGGGAAGCCCTGCAAGCCTGGGCCCTGTCTTCGGCTCCGCTACGGCTCCCAGAGGTGAAGCTGTTACAGAAATGGATTTCAAGAATCGTACGGATGGTCAATGCAGTGAAGAGTCATTCTTGTATATGATTGGAGGGGCATATCATCCATTGAGATTACCAACAATTCACTGCGGAGATGATATTGTATCTAACAATGGTGGTAAGCTCGAATGAGTATGATGTCATCGACTCTTGACTGTGCGTCGTGAGCCAAAATCCCACAAGCCATCAGGCACTATCACAACCGTTCAATAAAGCAAATCCACCTATCTGAAAGTAAAATTGAGTACATTGCTTACATTGGTGTTCTTTTATGAAGTTCAGGCTCCATTTCGCTGGGAATTCATCATCAATGAAGGTCGTACACGGAAACATTCAAGTTTGTCATCGTGCGTCTCTGCATGGTCACAAACAGCCAATGCCTTTATCAAGCACTTTTGTAGAGTTACTTTACGGGCTGTGCAAGAAGTCGAAGTCTTCTATCCTTTATGTAATTGGTAGTTGTGTTGAACATGTACTATTCTTTGTGGCCTTGCCTGTTTCCTCAAGCTTGTAAGTGAGGCTGGTCGTGGATTCATTCTTCAGCACCAAACACCAAGCACCACCGGGCTATCAAACAATGTAAATAACAGCTATATGAATGCGTAACACTGCTTCCACTGGAATTTCTACATAGCTCACTTTTAGCTGATAGCGAAGACAAACATTGTACAAAGCAAGGAGACTTGAGGCTCTAGGGCGAATATTTAGTGAAGCATCCCCCGTAACCATAAAATATTGTCTACCGAGTACACCAACAACATAAGTTGCACGAAAATAATAATTGCGAGTGGTTTCCTTCTGGTCTTGAATAGATAGCTCCAACGCTCTGATCCCTTATGACGATCCAACAGTGGCAACCACCCCGCAATCCTCAGCAATCAACCATCTATAATACAACCTACCGAGTGCTAAGCCACCATGACTCCTTCATAAATTCCGCTTCAAGTCCTCACTTACACGACTCCAGAAATGCTTAAAAATATGCCACCATGAAGAAAAGATCCCGCGCCTGCGAAGCCTGTCAGGCCTTGAAGGTCAAATGCGAACCATCCCCCGAAGAGTCTTCTATCTGTGAACGATGCTATCGTTATAATCTTACTTGTGTTCCTGCTGCGAGAAAGTGGCAGAGAGATAGGATTGCTGAGTTGGAGGAGCAGGTTAAGAATATGCAGGATAAACTTGATGGGACTACGAATTCGACTTTGGGGTTGTCGACTTATGCTGCTTCCACGAGAGCTACTTCGGTGTTCTCTGATGGAGTTTGGCCGCAGACAAGTGCTGGGCCATCAGAACTTGGCTTTCTGGATGCTCTTCTTGACTATGATACTCAACTTCGATGCTTTGAAGTTTGTTCAACAGCCGCCGGACAGTTCTGGTATCTTATACCTCCAGTCGACACCACCTCAGCACGATCATGGCTAGACTCCCTCAGGACAGGAGCACCCGTCAAACTCATATCCATGCTCGCATTCACCATGTCCCCCTCCTCCGTTGAGATCGATCCCCAAACGCAAGAAGACCTACGAATCAAGACCTTCGAAATCCTCGGCCAAGCAGCCGTTGGTCTGAAACGACCCTCCCTAGACCTCATCCAAGCCGCACTAATAACCGGTCTCTGGATCCGCCCATCCCTCGACTGCAACCACGGGAACCCTAACCAGCTTGTATCGTTGGCTCACGATCTCAGCGTGGAGCTTGGTCTTGGAGGTGCGGAAATGCAGACTTCTGCACCGGCGTGGTTCTTCCGGATCCAGGGACCGCTGACGCTGGAGATGCAGAAGATTTGGTTGGCGTGTTGGATGACTTCTACGATGGCGGCTGTTGGGCTTAGGCGAGCGCATGATTTTGGCTGGGGAACGGCGCATTATGAGGCTCTACGAGCGTTGGAGGCTGATGGCTCGGATCCGTTGTTTTTGGAGATGCTTTATACGATTCGGCTTCATGCCCGGGTTGCTAGTTCTCTCGAACTTTGCAATACTCGCACGCTTCACGACATCAACTCTGATGTTGTAGCGGCTACGAGGAACCATATCTACAATGATTTGAACGAGTTGAGCAACAGACCTCTTGCGGGCGATGTTCAACTTCGTTTCTGGCGTATGCTCGTCGCGATACATGTCAACGAACCAGTCCTTCATACAGCAACCAACAAAACACTCTTCACATCCCCCTACATCTCCGAAAGAATCGGCGTCCACGATTTCGCCTGCGGTCCCATAACCTCAACAACAGCAACAGCTCTCCACTCCATCGTGGAAGCCTGCCATCTCGCCATCTCAATAGTCCTCGAAATGAACGCCTCCACAATCCTGTCCCTCCCCTCCCTATGCTTCGGTCCAGCGGTAAGCTATACACTCTCCATCCTCATCAAAGTCTTCGTGGCAGTGTCTGCACCCGGAAACACGTACAGTCAAATCCTGACCCGCGAAACCCTGCACGTGCGAGAAGCCATGCAAAAACTCATCTCCGTTAAAGAAGCGCTGCTAAATCTCGATCCGCACATGGGCAACTGGAACACGAGGATCATAGGATCTGTCGAATGGTTGGGCGTTTGGTTGGATGATTACGAGAGTATTATTGAGCGGTATGAGGAGAATCTGCAGAGGGAGGTTGCAGAACAGGAAATCGAAGGACTCAGCCCCAATGGACATTTCTAATCCATTCCTATTGACTCTGTACTTTACACTAATCCAGTAATTAATCTTTAGTCTTTAATGTACCTTATTCCCTGTAGCTTGATTTTTCTCCTGCAGAAAGGGTCTAGAAGCCATTAACCTTACAGGGATGTTTTTCTCGCACGGGAATCCTTGTCCTGTCACTTACACGGGATTCACAAAATGACGTACAGGACTCTCGGATGGCTTTAAGGCTGTGCAATAAGCGATCAAGGCTGTGCTGGCAATTAAGCTTGTCGGATATGGATTTCTCCCAGGGTCTTTTATGGAGACGGTGAATTTTGACCGTGGATTTTATATGTGCTTTGAGATGTGAGACCCTGGTAGTTGGAGATCATCATCATGATCACGGAGCGTTATGCATGGGATGAGCGAGAGTCGATGATGCTTTGACTTTGAGGGAGATGCTTGGTATGGAGATGAGTTGGGATTGAGGAAAGGATTGTTTGGGGGTTCATGGTTGGCTTCATGGAGAGATGTTGTGTATAAAGTGAAGAGAGAAGCGCAGCAAGAAGAGAAGTCTCATCATTCACATCTTGACATCTTCAAGCATCACAATCACTACCAGCTCAACAGCTATCACCAGCCTCATTATTCTCTTCAGCATCAAAAACTTCATGATGAAATTCCTCAACCTCGCAGCCCTCGCAACCGCCGTGGTCGCTCAATCCGACCTCGCCAGCATTCTCTCCTCCCAATCCGACCTCTCCACCCTCGCTGAGCTCCTCGCTCTCGTCCCCGACATCGCAGAGACTCTTGCATCCGCCAGCAACATTACCATTTTCGCTCCCACCAACGATGCATTTGCCTCGGTCCCCCGAGACATTCCTGAGGGTGAAGCTATTTCTCAGCGCAACGATACCATCGCTATTGGTGCTCTGCTCTCAAACCACGTCTTCAAGGGCTATTATCCTGCCAAGGTTGCTACGGATGTCCCTGTGTTTGTGCAATCTCTTTTGGATTCGAGCTTTGTCAACTATCGTCAGCCGTTTGGGAACTTTACTGGGGGTCAGTATAATGGTATTGTGAAGGATGGTGATGATGTTGTTGTCATCTCTGGAGAAGAGACTTTGTCCTATGTGACTGAAGCCGTGAGTACTGGTTACCTCCTCTGACACTGAACTAGTTCTAACATTACGTAGGACATCAAGGTCGGTGACTCTGTCATCATCCACAAAGTCGACAAGCCTCTCAGCTTCGGTCCTCCCCTTCAACTCTTCACCCGTCGCGACAACCTCCTCAACTTCAACGCCGCTCTCAACGCAGCTGGTCTTCCCTACAACTTCGGCAACCTGGACCGCGACTCCTCAACTCTTGTCAACATCTCTGACTTCACCGTCTTTATCCCCAACGACCCTGCCTTTGAGGCCATCGGTTCAGTCCTCAAGGACGCTGATCTCAAGACTCTGCAGGAGGTGTTGAAGTATCACATTGTCGACGATGTGCTCTTCTCTACTGATCTCGCCAACGTCAGCGTTCCTAGTCTTCAGGGCGCTGATTTGACTTTTACTGTTGCTAAGGATGGAAGTGCTTGGGTCAATGGTGCTAAGATTCTCTTCACCAATGTTCTTCTCTTCAACGGTGTCGCTCATGTTATCGACGGGTAAGCCATACCTCTTTTTGACCATCAATAATACTGACAATATAGTGTCCTCAACCCCGCCGACGACCCCTTTGACCGCGCCGATCTCAAGCCTGCCGCTGAAGCTGATGACCGCCTCGCCTTCCCCGGCGCAACACCTGTCTCTAAGCTCCCCTTCTCAGTCATCAGCTACGCCGACGGCAGCCAGCCCACTTACACCACTCCCGAGCTTCTCAAGACTCTCAAGGCTATTGACGTCTCAGCTCTTGCTACTGCTACTGCCACCGCTGATGCTACCACTGGTGCTAACGCTACTCCCACTCCTACTGGAGTCACCCCCGTTGTCAACGCCGCAAGCACCAAATTCGTTGCTGGTGGGGTTAGCGTTTTTGCTGTTCTTATTGCTATCCTGATGGTTTAATCTTTTGGTGGTTCAAGGCTGTGTTGCTTAAGCTCTTGTTTGCGCGAGTCTGTATTCTTCACCTTAATACTCTAGATGCAGGTCTTTCAAGGCCCAGAACTCCCCCGGTCCGACTTGATTAGTACTTAATATCCTGAATTTACGTCTTCTCTTATACAATCTCTTGGTTGAATGTGAATATTCGCATACCGAATCGGGGAGAGTGAGCCCCGAAGATTGGTCACGTAGACTCCATCTCGGAATACCGAGGGTCCGAGAGTGGGTCTCCTGGCCAACCTAAGAATGGCTTCCGATCATGATACCAATTCCAGTTTTGTGCTACAACTTCACTTGAGTTGTCAGATCCCTTCTTGTTATAACACTTACACCAGACCTTGAATCCCTCAAAAGAGGTTTCGGTTATTCGCCTTGTAATTATTGCATCATTCCTCATACCGTCGAGTAAGTCTCATTATGAGGGCACCTATGAAAGCACCTTCCACCTGGGGTAGCACAGTTCGTCGTCTCGCATGTTGGTCGTTCTTCATATTTGTTTGTTACTGGAGTGCTGAATGGATCTCAGATCATAGAGGCACACTCTCTCAACTTCCGCTAGCGAGCACATTCATCGCGGCACCAACACGGATTTACCAGCACTACTTGTCCGGAGGAAAGCCATTCAGTTCGTCCACATTCAAGCTGCAAGAGCAGTCTCAACCTATCAGCATGGGCTCTCAGGTCAAGAATCTAGATGGCCTCAAGGAGCATCTTACTCATGTTAAACTTGACGAGCTACGCCACTTCTGGTTTGAGCATATACCCGAGGGAGCCAGCCGAATTATCGCTCCTCGAGAATTGCAAAAGAGGTGGTTCTTCTCCGACAAAGAATTCGACAATTTCTGCGTGTAAGTTGCACACTTACTCTAAATCAACCACATCCTCTAACACATCCTAGCACTCGATTCAGCCCTGTGCTAGAAGCCATCCGCAACGCGGGAGTTACATCAGCGCAAGAGCTTCTATCCATCGCGAAGCCGCGCAACTCTCTAGACTGGTTAAGCCTCATCATCTTGCTCGATCAAATTCCACGAAACTCATATCGCGGCGAGAAGTCATCTATCTGCTTCACTTACTTCGACCCTCTCGCGCAGCAGATTTCTCTCGAAGCCATCAAGCAAGGCATCCCAGACAAGGCACCCGAGATTCGCTGGGTTTTCTCCCACCGCAACTGGTTCTACATGCCATTGATGCACTCGGAGGACATATCGGCACACGAAAAGGCTGTTGCTGCTTTTGATCAGATGAACCAGGATATACTGAGCTTAATGAAGGGAACAGGCGGTGCAGATGAGTACGAGAGGAAGGCAAGAGAAGTGGTGCAGGCGGATCCTGAGACAGCAAAGTCAGTTGGTGAGACGAATAAAGTATTTGAGGAGAAGCACAGGGTGATTATTGAGAGGTTCGGGAGATATCCGCATAGGAATAAAGCGCTCGGAAGGGAGGCGACGCCAGAGGAGGTGGAGTTTCTCGAGAATGGAGGTGATACATTTGGTAGCTGAGATGCCTGATGCATGCATGGCGGATCATTATGATCTGCACTATTGACAATGACCTCATTGCGCTAAGATGCCTGCCATGTTTGCCTAGGTACGCTATGAAGATAAATTGATGATCAAATATTCGCGTATCTATGTTGAATTAACTGATGAAAACAACGGGACAGTCAACCGCCAAGCGTCTCATGACAGCGTATGCGTAAATTCAGAACCATACGCTCAACGCTCACCCAAGGGATGCGAATACGTCAAATTTGAACGACAACCGAAAACGCCTCTTGCACCAATAGGAATCCACGGGTCTGTCAAGTGTGACAGCCACAAGTGCCGACAGTCCACTAACGATCAGCGCCCGCCCACCAATTCCCCAGGGGTTCTGACACGCAATTGCCTAAACGGGCACCTCGGCGTCGGATGTCAAGTGATCCGACCTTCAGTATCGGTAGTTGACCTGAATGTCACAGTGCCATTGTTTTACACATGGATAACACCACTTTTCCCCTCCAACTACTTTATATAATAAGTTATCTTTGATTCGAAATGGTTACTACAAGAGCAAGTTCTCGTGGTGAGAGTGTTAGTCTTGAAAGTTCTACTACGATCGATATTCCTGCTACACCTGCTACACCTGCTACACCTGCTACACGAAAACGAACGATGAAGAACGCAACCTCGAACCCCTCAGTTTCTAATGGGTCGTCCAAGAAACACGCTGCTCAAACGTGGCATCATACAGCTTCATCAACAACAATCCTCTGGCTCGCCGTATCATTGCCTCTCGTTATATGGGATATAGGCTACGTCTTTGGCAGACCTCACACCATGCCTGATGGTTTCCTCCACTGGCCACTTTATGTCCCGTATGCGCTTTATGGCGAGGTCGATCATGTTTACGGATGGAAGGCGTTCAATGCCAAGAATGGCTTTACAGCAGCTCAAACGGCGTTGAATCTTGTTGAGACGGTCATGTACTTGGTGTATTTGTATATTCTCTGGACGCGAGCCGACAAGACGATTGATGGCGCGAAGAGGACTTTGAGTGGACGTGATGGCGCGCTGGCTGTTGCTATTGGCTTTAGTGCTGCTGTTATGACGCTGAGCAAGACAATCTTATACTGTAAGTGAATCTGTAGTACGCATACGACGATATCTAACAGACTTAGGGGCCAATGAGTACTATAGCGACTTTGATAACATCGCTCACAACACACCTATGGACCTACTCACTCTTTGGATAATCCCCAAGTCAGTATGTCTTGATGACGTGCCATAGGATTGATACTAATTTGTGGCCAGTGGTGCGTGGATCGTCCTTCCCACCTACATGATCTCCAAGTTTGGAGGGGATATTCTCGATGGCTTGACACTTGCCTCAGGCCAATCTGTAAAAGCTGAATAGAATGAGCATGAAAGATCTGGTCGAGCGTCTTATTTAGTACTGGGGGAAGGCGTATATGAGTAATGACAATGAGGGAAGAGACATGATTTGTAAACAACACGAACTGGGTTTGGGCGCTTCTGACGCTTCGTTGTATATGACGAGGAACAGGATAGTTGAAATGAGGGCAGTTTAATCTTTGGCCTTGCTTAAACAGTTACTTTCAGCCCCAGTAGCACATCACGATATAATAGCAATTGACATCAATACTTGATGATTAACTACTACCCTTCCCACCTCGACCATACCTCCCAGAGCAAACATAATAAAGCTAACTATATCGTCTAGACATGTCATTTCATAAAGAAATAGGGGTATTCGCTTATAACAACCAAAAAAAAAAAACATAGAAAACGACGCGTCAAGCGTAAAAGCAACCATATCTCCTTCTCAAGACATTCTCAACTCATATCAGTCAACCCTCCCAAGTCAGCGTACTGCTCCCAAGCAGGCATCATATCATCATCCTCCTCCGTCATCTCACCCGGACTGTCCATAAACGTCTGCATCGCCGCCCAATCCGCATCCTCATTCACAATATACGGCTCCTCCACCTGTGTCTTTATCCGCAGCGGTTGCGGAAACATGCTGTGTCTTCTATTATCAACTTCTTCCGCGTAGCGTGAGTCAGAGAATATCGCGCTGATGGGTCGGCTGCGCTTTGAGACGCGGCCGGACATTGAGCGTGCTACCATTGACATTACGTCGCGGCGGCGTTCGCGACGTGCTTTCACATCTTTGGGGATTATGGGCTCGACGTAGTATTCTGCTAGGGGGAGAGTGTCGAGGGGTGATTCGGTGTCGTTGGTTTCGATGCTCTCGGGGAATGTGTTATCTGTGTCGTCTGTTTTTGTGTCGCTTCCGTCTGTGTCGACATTTACATCGTTTGTGCCGTTGCCGTAGCCATGGACAACAATTTCGTGATATGTTGGTCGTGATGGCGGTGTGATTGATTGAGGTGGTGTGGTAGCGGGGGATTTAAACATGCGCATGGATCGTCGAATTGTTGAGGAGCGGCTGAGTGCTTGTGTGAATGAGTTTGAGCGCGAGGGACGTGAAGGCATTGATGCTCGACGTTCCATCTTGCGGTTATCGTGTTGTGTTTGGGGACGATCTCGATGAGTGAGTGCTAAGTAATCGATGTCCGGTTTGATCTCAATCTTTCCAAAGGAATCTTCTCTTGCGTGTTCATCACCATCTGGCTGCACACTCCAGGTCGGTCCGCTAGTAACGTACTGGGTCTGGCGTCTCAAGATACGGTCCAGATCGCGAGGTGTATCCCACGGTGGAAGCTTCTCAGTTAATGCAGAAAGACTGTAGTGAGCTTCGCTGATCTCGTCCTCTTCCAAATCGACTGCTGTGTCTGTTGCGTAGCGAAGGACTTGGTATGTTGCGTAGATGAGAATCCATCGGACCTTGCGAGCATCCACCAGCGATACCTTCTCCTGTTTATCTGCCTTGTTTGGGGACATGATAGAATCTTCTTCAAAGCGCCGATATGCTCTTACGAGATCATTCTGCGCAACTCCCGGCTTCATCAGATTTGAGGCGTTGATCAGCGCTGCATGTGCCGTTACTCTGCGATCTGATCTGAGAGTCACACGTCCCGGAAACCAAGATATGCGCCGCGAGTTGTTGCCATTCGTATCCGGGAGAAGTGGCAGTGGATGATCAAGGACATCGTATCCATGCTCGAAGTCGAAGGATTGAACAAGTTGAATAGTGCAAATGCCGCCATGCGCTGTAGGCGGCATTGTATGTGACGAGGTATACTGGTCATCAACGAGTAGATCATACAACGCCTCAAAATCCTCACGCATAATCCGCAAAACAGCCGGATCAAACAAGTCGTTGCCAGAATCCGAAGTCGGCGGGTAATACCCCAGCTTCGTTGTATAAAACGATAACAAAAAGCTTCGGAAGCGCTCAAGATGTGCCCGGGCGCCTGCTGCGACACTCAAATGAGCCTCTGACAGCTCATCGTCCAAAAACGTTCTCAGCATAGACGATGACCGCGTCATGCGATAATCAAGTTCGAGACGCCCTTTACGTATGAGCTTGCGTGTCGAAGGGCTGAGCTCCTATATTCTTCGTCAGTGGCTGGCCTTAGCATTCTTGCTCAGACAAAAACAAACCTGAAAACCAGCATTTTCGAACAAGTATTCGCTCATGCCAACGCAATGTGCAAAGGCTCGGATGTACAGCTCCTTCATTTGAAAACACTCTGCGAGCTGCAGTATCGCCAACGCGTGGTTTGGTTGATTCGCCATGTCGAGATACCCTTCCTCGTCGAAATACTCCATCATGTCTGAGACATTGTCGTCCACGCCTGATCGAAACTCATGCATACTGTGGAGAAGACCAATAAGAGCGCCGCCGAGACTATATCCGACCATGGATCTTCGAAACACCCAAGCGAAGAAGTTGCGTGTTGCGAGGTGGTAGTTGAAAGCTTGCGTTTTATCTGTCGTCGGAGGTGGCGGGATATACAATTCGATTTTGCGTGCTGGGTATTTCTGACTCCATCTCATGAGTTCGCGAAGATTGGGTTTTTGAACGCCTTCCCATACGAGAAATCTTTGAATGAGTGGGTAGCATTGGGCGTCGAGAAGTGCTGAGAAGGGGACTTTGAAGGAGGGACCTCGTTGAGAATGGCCTTTTGTGTGGAGATGCACCATACAGTTTCCATTTCGAAACCAAAGTTCAGGATCCTGTTTCTGTAATTAGATATTAAGTTTCATGAGTACTTCTCGACCGACTTACTCGACGAATGTTGTCCCATTCTGTGCACGTTCTTGCAGCACCATCCCACCGCATCACAGTCGGACGATGATCCATTCTCCCATTCACAAAAGAACTGAACCGTAGGGAACTCTGTCTAGAGTTCACCTGTATAGACGGCATAGTGAGAGTCGTATATATATGTTTTTGGCCAGAATGCCAAAAATATCAACGATCAAAAGCAGCTGAATAAATCTGCAGCGAGCCGCGTCGTCGGGATGTTGCAGGTGAATGAGTCTTTGTTCGTTAAATCCCCCTGCTCTGTTAGAAAAAGGCCCTGTCTTTCTTTTACGAGCGCGTAAAGTAAAAGCCCATCACATCTCAAGTGATACAGCCATGTTGAGGAAAAAGACGTCAGGCGCAGGGTTCCATGGCGGGTCCTATGTAAGAGATCTCCAGAAGATTCAAGACAAGACAAGAGATCTCAGACCTCGTCAGGGGGGGCATAGTCATTAATATCTCTGGTCTGCTCTGCTCTGCTCTGCTCACAGCTGTCACAAAGCACCAAGCCTAGCCTTGCCCAACAGGGCGAACCCTTGATCCCGGCAAGGCAGGGCCCCGACGGTCGGAATTTGAATTCAAGCCCAGGCCAAACCCAAGAGGTAAGACACTATCAAGCCACCGCATTAGCGTCTTTTCTCATCGACTTGTTCAGCGTCTTCTCGTCTTTGAGCTGGTGGCAGATCTGCACGCAGCTCGCCTATTAACTAGAGGCTATGACCTGGCTCTTGACGTGTTTTGTCTTGTTCGTTGTGGAGCACCGCATTTAAACCTATAACTGATCAGTGCTCATGCCGTATGTACAAAAAAGCAAAAACTGTCGATTTAGTCCCGGACCCAAGAACCTGGTATGAGACAAAGAAGTATCGTTCACCGTTTATCAGCCCATTGGACTCTCCGATCCGATCTATCGGAGCATCTCGAACACCATCCACCGAGCTAGTATGAGCATTACCTTTGGCTTTAGTTACAGCTTGCGCAATACAATGTTACAGCAAAGAGAAGTTGGTGTGTGCCTCTGCATGATGCATCAACAGTCACACAACACCGAAGAACAGAGTCAATGGTGATGATGATCATCGTTTCTTAACCGGTCGTCCCGGGCAAACTTGAGAACAAGCAATCTTGAAGAGAAAGTGGCGTAATTTCTTTCAAGTTCAACGAAATTGTGTTAATCTGTGACGTCCCGAAATTTCGGGAATTAAAACAGGGCCTTTTTTACTCCACGGGTCTTGTCTTTGTTAGATTTCTTCAGCTCCACTGGGATATGCTAGATTATCTCAACAGCAAGGATCATCTACAGCTCCAATCCCTGGCTCTTGATGCTTTTTACGGCAATTACTTCTGCAACCACCATTCATCACTTTCAGTTCCAGCCAGACAGCGAATTGTTCAACTTGTGGATGGCAGCCCCAAAACCTCAGCCGCACCGATGGGACTCGAGGCGTCGGGATACTTTCTATGCTTGAGCCCTTTTGGGGAATTCAGCCAAGCCTAGTTCTCTGCTTGGACCAAGGGGCAGGTCCAAAGACTCCAGACAGGTCAGAGCTAGAGTCAGCCCAGACCAGGGGCGGGACCTGACCATCACTCGTTCTGGCTCTAGCTCAACATGCACAGTAAGCCAAGCATGAAGTCTTCTTCTGTCATTATGAATCAATAGCCTTTCACGATCGTGACCTAAACACCTTTGCCCGTAACTCAAAGAACCCCGCATTACATGTCGTGCAGGTGTCATATCAAAGAATCAAAGACAAGGCAAAACCAAGACAATAAAGAATCAATGGAGACCGGAGTCCGAGTCTCGGGTTCGGAACTAAACTCATAAACTCCAGAAGGGATTATCGTTGACCGAAAGCCTTGATCGAAAGCCTTCACAAGAACAAGGCGAGACCAAAAAGCTCATTAACAAGGTTGAGCTTGTCTGTTGTATGCCAGACTTTTACGGTCTAGACGCATCTAGTTCCAGATCCCGTCTTTCGCTCCCCGCCTTATAGCTGAACTCGCCACTAACAAATAGTCTCAAACACGGTGGAAAATTTACTGTACGTAGTATGTGCCGTGGACGGGATGGGATGGCATTCAGGGTTCAAGCTTGGAGCATTAGCCACCCTCAGTTGTGTGTTTCACCAAGCGAAGCTTCGACCACTACCAAAGGTCTTTTTCCTTGACGACGCCACAGTCTCGGAATGCATGAATGTGCTGAATAGAGGACTTATTCATGCTTCTGCGGACGAGAGTCAGGGCCTTGAAGACTCCGAGCAGCCGTTTTGCACTATGGGCTTGGAGCGACAAGAAGATTTAGGTAAGCTGGTATAAGCTTAGGGGGCTCTTTAATGAGTTTATTTTGGCATCCTATCTTATGATACACCTCGATTTGAAACAAGTGATATTCATGAGACGTTAGGAGAGGAATGTTGAACCGATTCAGCTCTCCAATATTCCCGGTGAGGCTGTGAGCTGAGTGTGAGAGGAGTGATGAGGACAGCCGACGCATTTCACTTTTGCTTTTTGTGATTTTAGTGAGTAAGACAGTTCTTTGAAGTTCAAGTGAAAGTATATCATCAGTTTACTCTGTACTTTGCTATTCTTACTCAGTTACCTGGAATTTGTGCTCGGGAGGTGCATTTACTGGTAGTTGAATGAATCTAATGTAGACCCTGATTGGCCCCTCACCGAGTGACCATAGCTCTGCTCACCTCACACCGAGAACAAAGGCCCCAGTTTCAAGACAGCTCCCTTCCCAACTTCAACTTTGGGTCTGCCAAACTCCACGGCCTTCCACTACCATGGCACTCGTGATACCTTACACGTACATCCAATGTCCGTGTTCCGACAATTCTCCCCCGATCTCCCGCAAGCGCGTCAATCACAATCCTCCGACGAGCGGACCTTTGACCCCCGCGATCCTCGCTCAAACTACAGCCTCTACCCTCTCGAGTACCTCCTCTACTGCGAAGACTGTCAGCAAATACGATGTCCACGATGTGTGAACGAGGAGGTTGTTACATATTACTGTCCGAACTGTCTGTTTGAGGTTCCCAGTAGTAACTTGCGCAGCGACGGGAACAGGTAAATAACACAAAGACATTGTCGAGACCAAGCCTGACATGCGCCTCTTAGATGTACCCGAAGCTGTTACCAATGTCCCGTCTGTATTGGCCCTCTCCAGGTTATGGAAACCCCCGTGGAGAAAGACCAGTCACACCTTGGCGCCGACATCCCAGGACCTCAATATGCCCTGTATTGCCAGTACTGCAATTGGACCTCCACCGAGATAGGCATCAAGTTTGACAAGCCTAACGGGATACACTCGCAGCTCTCCAAGATCAATAACGGAGGAGACCTCAAGCTCACGGCGAAAGAACTCAAGGAGCGTCGCAAGGAGAACCCAGATGAGCCACCTCTTGCCGACAGCGATGTCGATACAGACCTTCAATATGCCAATCTGAAGGCGTTCTACCAGTCGCAGCTCGCAGACACCAATGCTGCCTCGAGCGGTATATCTCCACTGAATGACACTACTGGCTATGGATCGCCTGCAGCGTCGTTGTCTCGTATCATGGCTATGTACACTGGTCACGGTCATGCTCGCAAGCGTAATGGTCCTTCCGATGTGATGCGTGAAGCTCTTACGGCAGAGGAAGGTCTGAAGTTGGCGGATCTGGATGAATCTGCTCAGATCAAGAAACTGCACCAAGAAGGATGGGATGCAACGGCTACTATAGAGCAGAACCTTGAACAAGCAGAGGTTCAGAGATTCCAAGATGGTTTACGGCCTATACCGCACCTCCTCAGAACAAAGCGCTCGAAGCGTTGCTCTGTGTGTCGACATATTATCTCCAAGCCAGAAAACAAGGTCACGTCGACACGGTTCAAGATCAGATTGGTCGCAAAGTCGTATATCCCTACGATTACCATCAAACCTCTCAACCCCACAGCTGGGTCAGTCCCTACTACGCAGCGTCCTCAAATTCAAGAAGAGCGACCGCTCAAGCCCCTCACCCCGCATCACTACATCATAACCTTCAAGAACCCTTTGTTCGACGGAATCAAAGTGACACTTGCTACGCCGAACAGTACACCAGGCAGATTCTCCAGCAAAGTGACTATTCTGTGTCCTCAATTCGATATCGATGCCAACACGGATATGTGGGATGATGCTTTGAAAGACGATGACAGAGACAAGAAGCGAAAAGGTGAAGAGAGCAGTGGTCAGCCTGAAGCCGGTAAGATTTGGGAGCGAGGGCGCAACTGGGTCAGCATCATCTTGGAAGTGGTTCCCGCTTCACTACGACTTAACAGTCAAAAGGACAAGAGTCCACTGAAGGAGGATGAGGATATTCTAGAAATACCCATGTTTGTGAGGATGGAGTGGGAGCCTGATTCCCAGCAAGATGTCGGTGCAGCATCAGGAAAGGAAAAGGATGCTCAGGAGAGGAGGGAGCTGGCTTATTGGTGTGTGCTTGGAGTTGGCCGCATAAGTCACGATTAAACATAGAAAAGGCATGCACATGAGACATAGATCTAGATACCCAAATATTGGACGAAGTCATGGACGGGAGGAAGTGTTTAAGTTGTCTTGTCAAATCATACGCAGCTTGCTTGTACCATTCATCAAGCTACTTTCTTTAAGACGCCAAGCCCCTTTTTTGACCAACCAACCATTTGTGAAAAACACTCCCAGCCCGAATGAGGAAAAAATAGTCATTTCTTCTATTTCATCTCGAAAGTTGACGCACAGACTTAGTAGTCGGCGGGACCGCTCTGAGGGAACTCGAAGTTGACGTTGCGGCCTGTCAATCGTCGGTAGACCTCAGAGTAGGTGTCGAGGCGGTAGTCAACACCACCACGCTCCTTCTCGTCGAGGATGACCTTGAGAAGCTTGGAGCCGTCCTCCTTGGTGCGGACGCGCTTGCCGACGATCTCGACGGGGTAGGTGAGATCCTCGAGGATGGCGTCGTGGACGGCAGTGAGAGTTCGCGAACGGGGACGCTTCTGCTTCTGGGTGTTGCGGGAGCGGGCGGATCGCTTGGGGCGGGGCAAGATGCGGCGAGAGGCGAGGATCAGGACATGGCGGTCAGAGAACTTCTTCTCGAGCTCACGAGTGAGACTAAGGAGTATTAGTATTGAATCTGAGGTTAGAAGGGAGATATCTTACCGCTGCTGGACGCGGTGGAAGCCCTGCAGGGAAGGGACGGGGACAAAGATGACAATAGCCTTCTTGCCGTGGCCAACCTCGATCTAGTCAAGATCCCAAGTCAGCATGCGAGCTCCAGGACGAAACCTTGGACCGCTTCCCGTCCTGTTCCACAGAAGTCAATGATACTCCGGCTGACACTCCTCCGCCCCGACGACATGGTGTATGCGCAGTCAATTATCTCTCGAATATCGAGGTCATTTTCGACGAAAAAGTGCGCGGTCGGGAGGCAGAGAGGCCATTGCGAGAACAGTATAGTTTTCTTATGTGGAAACAGGATTTCTCGAAACGAGACCTAAGTTCGGAATTTGTTTTTTCATGGTATTCTCACCTCACGGGCAGAGACGATCTGCAGAGGTCGCAGGGCAACCTTGAGGTCGGAGGTGTTGGACTCGAGGTCGTAGAGAGCCTGAGCGATGCTGGTCTCAAGCTCGGAGGGGTTCTGCCTCGAGGGGCTGTTGGGAGCGATCTTGTTAAGGGCCTGGGCGCTCATTTTGACGGCTGGTTCGACTACGTGGATTGACGACGACGAAGTTGATGGTGTTGCGCGGGCCGCTGTAATTTTTGATAGTAGGCAATTTCTGAAAAGTCGCTAAATTGGGGTTTTCAACCCTCTAGAATCTGTGGGCGGTCCGTGCGTCGGTGAGCTTGTTAGCGTTGATGCCTGAGGCTTGAGTCTAGCACACCGAGCTTCACCTTCTGGTCAGTGGGTCTAGTCACCAATCGCCCAGAAAGGAAATCAACTTCACTTGCACAGCGTCTCGTGTTTCGTGGCTTGATGCAATGAAAAGAAAGCAATCAAGTCAAAAGTTGCACAGCATTTCAGAAGCATTCACTTATGAATATGCATGATTTCAAATCAACTCTGCTTGAATCTAGGACACGAAGCCGTGTAACTACTGCAGCTCAACCACACTCACAACCACTTCAAGGGTAGAAAACAATGCATCGTTTACAACATTCGTATCAAACAACCTGATCCTCTATCCTGTTTTTACTGTTACACATGCTAACCCTCACCGCCCTCGGGGTCCTCCTCATCCTCATCACCGAGCTGCTTATCAACGTCCTGCTGCACCTTTTCACCTGTCGTGTCCCTTGCGATCTCGGCAGCCTTCATACCGCCAGCCGTGAGCCACAGGAAGTGATTTGTCTTGAACTGGTCGATCTGGTTGAAGAACATGTGAAACCTGCCGTGTCTTGTTAGCCTTGTCCGACTTGTGCATACATCATTACTTACGAGTTATCCTTCTCCTCCACGCTGAAAATACGAGTGTAGATCTGCTTGTCCTTGAAGGCCTGGATCTTCTCTTCGTACTTGTCAAAGTCGATCGCTTCCTTTCCGAGTGACTCGGTGGCCTTTCGGTTGTAGTTGTGGAATACGGGTCGCTCAAGCAAGAGTCCGAGACCAGGGGCCTTAGGGATGGCCATCTTCTGGTTCTGGTAGCTCTCGTTGATACGTTCCATAGGAGTGCCACAGCGGACGATCAAACTGGCTAGACCAACCATCTTTCGGATCTGGTGCATCATGAAACTCTGTCCGTGAACCTTGAGAGACAGCCATTCTGTATCGTTAATGATGATAGGGTTAGGGTTGACGACGAATGACTTGATGTGTCGCTTCGCTGAGGGATCGAAGAATGACTTCTGAACAGTATAGTTGTGGAAGTTCTTTGTACCGTTGTACTTGTTGAGGGCCTCCTGAAGACGGTTCAGACGCTCAGTGCTGACACGGTACCGTCGCTTAGCGGCAACATAAGCTGCCTTGATGTCTCGAAGGGCGAAATCAACGGGGCCAAGCTCACGGTTCTTTGGCTTGTGGCTCTCCAGAACAAGGCCAGACTGTTGAGCCTCGGGCTCTGTGGTTTGTTCAGCAGCTTCACCAGCTGGTGTCTCGCTAGCAGGCTTCTCCTCTGCTGGCGCGCTCTCCTCGGTCTCTTTCGCAGCCTCCTTACGTGCAGCAACCTCTTCATCATCCATAACGTGGACTCGCTCCAACACGGCAGCCTTGGTCTCGGGGTCTAATCGGGCCAAGATGGGCTTGATCTCTTTTTCTTCCACGTCAGACCAGAAATCTTTGACATCCTCCATCCTAGAGGCCAGCTCATCCTCGACACCATGCTCCTTGGCTAACTCAACCAATTTTTGGCCCAAGAAAGACTCGGGGTGGGGAGGCAGAAGGCAGTAGCTAGGCATAAGATACTCGTACCATCTTGAATCGCAGGTTTGGTAACAGCTGAAGGCGTTGTTCGTTCGCTGAATACCCCAAATTCGGATCTGCTCTGGTAGCTCGGCGTTGATCTTGTCCACAATATCCTCATCCTCAATAATAAGCTTCAGGCTGATGACATTTCCAGCCGCATGCACACCCTTATCCGTTCGAGCGCATCGAACAAGACTCGACTTCTTGGGGTCGTCGGCATTGGCCTTGGAAATAGCGCTCGCAGCGACAAATGCCTTGAATAGATCGGCCTCAATGGTCTTCTCGTTGCCATTGACCTGCATTCCCTTGTAACCAGTGCCCGCATATCCAATCATAACAGCAACCTTTCGCTTGGGTCGTCGCTCCTCGGCAGCAATCTCATCCTTGGAGAAGGGGTTGTTGCTCGACTCGCCATCAGCAGAATCGCCCTTCTTATTCAGTTTGCGACGCTTGAACTCCTTAAATTCATCATTCTTCTTGCGCTTGTCGCCCTTCTCACGACTAATTTCTGGTTAGCGCCGTCGGCAACTGTACTAATTTCACCAATTGAGGTGAAGACTTACCCCCATTCTCCGCGTCCCTTCTCTGATCGACCTTTGCCTGGCTTTCTGTGGTCATGGCGCGGGTTGCGACGGTTCTCAGAGCCATTGTTGTTAGCGGCGTTCTTGTTGTCGCCCGAGGGACGAGAGTCATTGGCGCTGCTCGCGGCAGGAGCTTCGTTATCTGCCGCCATGTTTGCATCGGTTGCGACAAATATGAACGGTAGAGCTGGCGGAAGAGAAAAGATGTAGCTATCGCGCGGGACACTCTTTTTTTGGCCTGGTTGACGACGAGATTTTCGATGCGGGTGAGTGGGGCTTCCCGTTGCGGTCCCGGCGGGGGAGCTCGTGTGTGGGGGCTACCCTGGATCTGACATCGTCGTGTAAGTGCCGCAAGATCAGTGTTCTTCCATTGTTGCTCTCAAGTTTCTGCTATTGGTCATGGATTGTTTGAATGGTGATATTGATCTTTTAATCTTGGGTATACGCTTCCCCTCCGTTGGACCACGATCATCTAATACTGTAAATCAAAACAAAATCATTTCTTTACAGAACGATATCCCACTCATACAAATGTTGCCCTGAGTTTACCCAGACTCAGGCTTTCGTCTCGATGACGGTAAATTTGCTATGATGCTCAACCCATAGTCGTCTTTCTTCACGGGAAGTTACATGTAATATTCTCTCGAGATAGCGATGGGCACAAAATCGTGGAGTGGATGTGGAAGGGATGCAGCATAGGTAGCAGTCTGGCCTTTCGTACCCTGGAAACATGACATTAACTGACAATGATATAATAGCATTAGGTACACACGTATCTCCATTCCATTGATAGACTTTCCAAGTTCTTGACTACGATGCATGCTAGTTATCAGACTTGATCACTACATGAACTACAGCAGGAGGTGAAGTAGGCGATCAATGCTAATAGGACATTGCACTCTGACCATGAGCGGCTTAAAAACGACACCGAAAGAGATTTGGGAGTGGTGAATGCCATCACACGAAGTTGAGCATTGCATATGTTCAAATATTCATTTCATCTCAAATTTTATTATACAGATCCATTGACTATCAAGCAAACGCCTTCACGCTTCCATAATTCGTTTAGTAGTTGGAGCTTCGACCAGTGTCAGAAGGGAGGCCCTCCTCATCACCAGGCTCCTGGTAGGTACCGCTGGGTTGGGCGGCACCTCGGGTACGCTCCTTGATGATGTTGCTCTTGTCGATAGCATCCTTATCATCACGCTCTATTACTGTGTTAGGAAGAGAGTCACATAGTAAGGTAACGGAGTTAGACACACCAAGCTGAGCATCAGTGTCGGCCTGCTCTCCATCGATGGGATCTTCAACTCGATCGGAGTCGGACTGAACAGGGATGGGCTGGTCCTTCTCACCAGGGCGAGAAACGTAAGAGTCCTCCTGAAACTCGGCGGAGGGAGCATCTTGAAGACCGTCGGAAGACATGATGAAAGGTGTTTGTGTAGTGCAAAAAGTGGTTGTGGTGTAAGTGGTGAGTTGCAGATGAGTGTTAATACTGAGAGATGACGAGAATGTTTCTTTTTTCTCTTTTCAGGAGAACACTCATCTTATACCTTTCGTTTCTACTCTTTAACTGAAACAACCATCCTCACCAAAAACGACTATTCCGTCATGGCCCGCAAACAAAAGCATCTATCCATGACGACATTGACGGATAATCACTTCAATGAATCATCTCCTCAGGACCAACAGCACGGCTCGCTACTAGCCCTGCTGCAAGCACTTCCGAGCCCGATCTTAGTGCCCCTGATCTCTTAATTGAAAACCTCGATCCGAGAAGTTAATCTCTAGATCAGTTGTCGCGTGGCTGGGCGATTGTGATGCAAGTGGCAAGCAACTAACCGCGACAGATTCGCGAATTACATGATCTTGACGCGTTAAGTGGTTTGTTCAAAGGCTTGTGGAGTTCGATCTTGGATGTTGTTAATGAGACAACGGGAGATTTGCATCAACGATCGATGATGCTGAGTTATTGCTAGCCTTTGAATCGAGGTCAGTGCTTGGTGAGTTGGATGATCCTTGGTGGAGTTTGAAAGGGAGATTGGCGAAAGAAGGAAATTAAAGACGGAAGTTGATGTTACTACCAGTGAATTACGGATATGATTAGATCATAGATGAAGTCATGTTTGTAGTGACGATGTCAGGGAGAACTGAAGACTATGGTAGCCTGACCCTCTTGACTCTGTTCAGGAACAGCAAGATAATAATAAGGCTGAACTAGCGCCCAAGCTCCAGGGCGTGATCGAAAGCGTCATAAACACCAAAAAACCACAAATCATAACGAAAGATGACCCAAGAGAATGAAAATGCAAAAAGAAACTCTTTGATGAGACTGGGACTCGAACCCAGGAGGATTGCTCCACCAGGAAATTGGTGTTAAGGTTAACCTTAACCTGGCGCCATAACCAACTCGGCCATCTCACCGAGGATGCTCGTTTCCGAGAACCATTGTTGATGAGATTTCCGCTAGTAATACCATACTATACATTTACTAAGTATACATATTTCATTCAGGAATATCTGATATTAGAAAGGTCGTGATCGCGTCAAAATGCATGTCAGACTTGTCATCGTCGATACTTGATGGAAAGGTTGCAGTGAGACATGGATTGTCGATTGTATCACATTCCAATCTGATGCCCGTATGCCGAGTCCTCCGCTAATGGTGGTGATGCGCATCATCATCATCAATTCATGCACAATTCACTTATTCACCACTGAAGCATCTACATTTCGCAAGAGTCGGGACAAAGCCGACCTCAAGATTGCGCCCAGCTCAGACTACGATGCAAAAGATCCTGATATTGATTCCTCAGCCATATATCACTTGGGCGACAATCAGATATCATCTCCCTTGCAAAACCTTCTAGCTGCATATTTGTGCCCGTTGGGCCGAGTCAGAAACACCAACGAGACAGGATGTTTTGCTTTGTTTCCCAATTTCGCCACACCGCCAGACAATGTCGCGATACTCTCTGAAACAAGATTGCAGCGCCCGCCTAGAAGGACAAGGCAGGTAAGCAGGAAGCCTGTGGCTGAGGGCATCTATGGAAGCTGGCAGGGCCTATCCGGCTTCTACAGACGGCCTTGGACATGGGCACGCCCTGCGATCTGTGCGAAACACATGCATTCAAGTGGAAGAAAAGTTCCGAGCCTGGTCAATGGTGAACCAGGATATGGCGATCCTCAATCATGACACGTCAATGATTGACTATCGTGGAGTTCTGAATTGTAAGAACTAAGAAGAATGAGAGAGGTGATGAACCAAGACCAAAACAGAAGCTTGGTCACGCACATGTAGAGGGGGCAACGCGAGTTCAAAAGGGTTCCCCTAGTAGCAAGAATCATAGGATTGCCAAGTTCCATTTGCCAACTATGGGATTATGGTTCAGCGCCATGGTCATGCCTCTGATGATGTGCTTAGGGAGCAAAGTGAGCAACAAGGTCTCGACTTGGCTATATGATCAAACATTGACTACGAGCCAATGCCACAAAGAAAACGAAGTAAAAGTAGCAAGATACGGAGGTCTCGGATCAAAAGAATTCTCCCTTTTCTTGCGTGATTGTTGATTAAGTGATGGTTCATCAGGGTTGAGTGGTTGATAAGCCGCCAGGGTGAAAATGAGTCGACTCGGATCTCGGGATGGCGAAAGATTTGTGATGACAAAGATAATGACATGGGACCGAGAAGAGGTCAATTGACACGGCAAAATCACATCATCTCAGGCGATAAATTCCATAACAACAAGCGATATTGCTTTCATGGTGGAACTTGTCGAGACGTATAGTATCTGGATTGGTGATGACTCAAGTTGGGTAATGAGTATATCGCACATCGTGGCTGTCTGTGGCGCATATGCAAGATGCGCAACGGCCTATTAAAGAACGGGAAGTTAAAGAATGATCAGCTGCAGGCTTCAAGTCAAAGAGGGGCAGCGAAGTGAAAAAGAAGTCCAGACTGCCAGCCTAAGAGAAAAGAAGACGTAAAAAAGAGGAGACTTGGGAAGAGAATTCTGACGATGGGGGCCTTGTTATGTAACAAAGAAGAGGATCTGGCGGCACTCGAGGATCCATTTTCTTTTCATCTGCCGACAACACCGAAACTACAATGTAAGTCAACGTGAAGTGGATTATCGTATTCAACCAAGAGACCACCAGTGGCCAGTCTAGCCAGTGCCGTCCTTATTGTAGAAGGAGTTTTCTCTGCGCCATTAGAGGGTCTCAAAGGGTCCAAGTCTAATTCAGTCATGCCCCGTCTATGCCCCGTTCTGGTGCATGACTTGGTAGAAGCCAAGTTGCGATAGCGTCAGATACCTAAATGATGTTGTGAGAGGTTGTGCCTTGTTCCTGACATGAGATTGATGCTGAAATGTTCAAACCCAATATCAATTCTCATGGCGATGCTCCAGTGGCGAATGTCATCAACTTTGTATCTCTCAGCAGAGCCGCCATCTTGACTTACACCGACCGACTGCCGTGTCTCAGACCCACTTTTGTTAGATCGGCCGCTGATAACGCCATTTCGGTCACAAATTTGAAAGAGGTCCTGTGAGATGATTGAACAGAATCAACAAGGCCATGCGCCTCCAGGGCTCAAATCAGTGCGGACAAGCTGACAGGGGGGTACATAACACTGTTATCTGGAATGGAAAGATGTGGCCGCATAAATGGATGAGAAGAGGAAGCTGAAAAGATAACAGACTGATAGAGAGTCTTGTAGTGATAGGGAACAACACTGATATTGATTGATAGTTGCTATCTAGAACTTCAATTGGTCGATAGTCAAAGTTGAGGTCGTAGTGAAAGACCCTCTTTCCCTGTCATTCCCCCGCCATTTGGCCAGACAGTTGGGTTGGGTGTTGGTAAAAAACGGGAGTTTCTGGCAGGAGTCGGCTCAGCTCAGAGGGAAAGGAGGGGCCCTCCCCGACGACCCGAACCATCCTTCTCTCAAGGTTGGCCAAACGTCACACTCGATTGGATCCATCCAATACTTTACACCTTTTCACACCACAAGATTCTAGGCGTCGACACTCGTTACCTTTACCAGACAGCACAATCAGCCAATTCGAATCCTCTAGACAACCTTCGGAGACAAAAGAACAAATCACAATCTGTCTCACCTCCTTCCACAACCCAATTAGCGTCCTTTCAGCCAAGAACAATCGGCATAGTCCTGTCGTACCGCCTCTTGACCGGGGGGCTAAGCTCGTGCTGGTACATAGCACGCCATCCGCCAGTCACTTTGCCTCAGATCCCTCCCAGGAAGCTGTCTTGTCACTCTTCCCCGGACCAGCCCAGCGAGTTACGATATCTCACCTTCTCATCGCGCGACTCCAATTTCCCACCCCCAGGCCCTTGCTTGTGTTTTACACTTTGGTACAGTACAGTACATACATACTTCTGTGCCTCTGAGTCTGCGCCTGCGCCATGGAAAGCCCCTCGCTCGTCAACGGCCATCGGCCCTCCTCCGATACCTCTGTCGCAGCCCCCGGAAGCTCGACTCTTCTTCATTCTTCTATACCTACTTCATCTTCTACTTCTCAACCTGCTTCGGCTCCAACAACAAATCCTACACATCGCCATGCTTCTGCGCCGTCCACAGAGCTTGACTCATCCTCACCCCTTCCTCCTACAAACGGCCACTCTTTGAAAGTCTCCGACACCGACTCCGAACACCTCGACGACAACACTTTCCAACAACCCTCCAAAAACAATTGCGATAGACACCGATCCGATCAAGAAATCAACCCACGTCTCGTCAAGATGCCTTCCGAATTGGTCGGTAAGACCGTCAGCCCGTTCCTTAAGGAACATATCCCTGGCCTCTACGCACCATTTGGCAAGGCCAAGACAGCCATGCCTCTATCTCCCAGTCCCAACAATACCACCGCGATTCGAAAGAGAGATCCCAACAGCAAGTTTTGCTATCGTCACCGACCTGACTCAAAATGTCGACGCGCCGCCGACGAGACAAAAATGGGTTTTATTCAAACTGTAAGTCCAGTCCCCCCAACATCAACCACGGTGTACTTGTTGTGGTTCTTAGTCAACTACTCTGATAGCTTATGCTAACATTCATGAAGGAACTCAACAGCCTTTCATCCGCAGACCAAGAAGCTATTACTCACGTATGGTCTCTCTTTTCTGCTGCTCCATCAAAACATCGTGAGTTGATGCTACAGGGCATCATTACACAATGCTGCTTCCCCCAGCTCTCTACTGTATCACGCGAGGTACAAGAACAACTCAAGATCGACTTCCTTGCCGCTCTTCCCACCGAACTCTCCTATAAGATCCTATCATATCTCGACACAGTCTCTCTCTGCAAGGCCGCTCAAGTCAGCCGTAGATGGAGAAACCTCGCCGACGACGACGTGGTATGGCACCGCATGTGCGAACAACACATTGATCGCAAATGCACCAAGTGCGGTTGGGGTCTGCCTCTTCTCGAGAAGAAAAAATTGATGGCGTGGAGCCGCCATCAACAAGTTCACCGACAACCGAATGCCGCCGACGTGGTAGAGATCGACGACGAGGCTGAGACAAAATCGAGCGATTCACGAAAACGACAAGCTGACGACGAACACCAACATAATGATCGAGTTGCTAAACGCTCTCGTGTGAGCAACGGCGAAAAGTCAAGACAACAGCTTGAGCAAGAACGCAAGTTTCGACCATGGAAAGATGTTTATCGCGACCGTTTCAAGGTGGGGTACAACTGGAAGACTGGTCGTTGCTCCATCAAGACCTTCAAAGGTCACGAGAATGGCGTTACTTGTCTCCAGTTTGACGACAACATCCTTGCAACTGGCTCCTATGATACGACCATCAAGATTTGGAACATCGAGACGGGAGAAGTTATGCGCACGCTCCGAGGACACACTTCGGCAGTTCGCACTCTTCAATTCGACGATTCCAAGTTGATTAGTGGCAGCTTCGACAAGACCATCAAGATTTGGAACTGGCAGACAGGAGAGTGTTTGAACACACTCCAATGCCATACCGAAGGTGTGTTGTCAGTCCACTACGACGGGTGCACCTTGGCATCTGGCTCCATCGATAAGACCGTCAAGGTGTTCAGCTTTGATACCAAGCAGACATTTTGTCTTCGAGGTCACACTGACTGGGTCAATCACGTGCGAATTGACTCGCCCTCCCGTGTCGTCTTTTCAGCATCGGATGATCTTTCGGTCAAACTTTGGGACATCGACTCAAAGCAGTGTATCAAGACATTCCTTGGCCATGTTGGCCAGGTCCAGCAAGTTCTCCTGATGCCTGCTGACTTTGAGCCTGATGAGATGCCTCAACTGGATACCACGGATACTGCATCTGTATCTAGTGGTCGAAGTAACAGCCCACCTGCAGCGACTACCGAGCAGCCTGTTGATGCTCGGGCGGCTTATGGCTCGGGTTTCACATCCGACCCCGACCGGCCACTACCCCCGCGCTACATGCTCACTGGTGGATTGGATAACACTGTCCGCTTGTGGGACACCACTACTGGCAAGTGCATCCGCAGCATGTTTGGCCACGTTGAGGGCATTTGGGGCCTTGTCGGTGACACTCTCCGTGTGGTTACAGGGGCTAATGACTCCATGACCAAGATCTGGGAGCCTCGCTCTGGAAAGTGTGAGCGGAGCTTTACTGGTCATGCAGGCCCGGTCACCTGTGTTGGTTTGAGTGACAGCCGCATGGCAAGTGGCAGTGAAGATGGCGAGGTGCGGTTGTACAGCTTTGAGGGCGAACGTGTCGAAGAGCGTGGCACTCCTTCATAAACACCATCTACAGGGGGACTTCATCTGTAGATGGTCTTCCTTCGTGAAACATTTATGATATCCCAAGATACCAAACAGCGTTTTACGCGAAAAGCCACATGTGGCACAAATCGTTTTCTATCTTCTTTTTCTGACCGAGTCTGGTCTTCAACATATCAAAGGGTAGCGGGAGTATTTACAACGCGATGGCAGTCGCTTTTACGGAATTTTGGATGCATTTATAGAGTTTAGGGGAATGGATAAGTCCTCGGGTTATTAAGTACTGAGTCGACGGTTTAAAAGTCCCTGGGAGTTCTAGGTTTGGAACTGGTATAACACGGCGCTTCCATGGCGAATTCTTTGACAAGAGTATGATGATGGCATCAACAATGAGTTTGGCAGGGGGTGAGTTATATAGGCTAGTTATGAGCTTAACCTCCAGACTAGAATGAAGTGGAAAATTACTGATCAAAATGTTTTTCTTGTAAGGTGATATAAGTGAAATTGGTCTCTTGAACACCGAAGTAGTTAGCTGGAGCTGCAACAGCTCATGCTGCCTCATCACTCTCAACCCCTGGTTCCTGGTTCACAGGTATAAAACTTACTAAGGCTTTAATTATATCTTTGCAATGAATATGACTGAGTGCAATCACATATAGTTTTCATAATTTTACCAAATCATAGTCTGATGCAATGAAAGATACAATCGAGAGATGCATTTGTTGGGTGGGCACATCCGTATTAAGATTACCTGAGGAGGTACGCTTTCCATGGCCACATGGACCAACGTTTCTTTTATGATTAAGGCCATGAAGTAAAGGCCGATGATTGGAGGGCTATTCTGTTTAAATAACTATGACGAACGAATATGAAGACCTCACAAGTTGGATGCATGCCTCTGTGATTAGAGATATGGCCTAGGATGAATTTAAGCAACAGCTTTTACTGATTCACGGATCTGAATGTCAATACAAGACATACATTTCATTGACGTATATAAGTGCAAGCGAGTCATTGTCACTTAGGTAGTTCAAGGGCATTCTTTGATAGCTATTTGATGCATGATACTATTGCAATGATGAGTCCAACTTCTTTCATTATGTATCATATATCATTAACGGGCCATAACAAAGAGATACATGCTCATAAAGAACAGGTGCGGGCTAACGGATTGGATATTGAGAAATAGAACGACAGATAAACGGTAGTTGGGTTCTTCATCACGAACCTATTCAATGTTGAGCACTATACCATTGAAAGCGTTGGTAAGATACCTTAAGTTCATACCAAAGATGTCATATAACTCCAGCTAATAAAGCCCGTTTGCATATATGCCAGTTCCCATCTTGAAGAAGAATGTTCATTGATGTGTCCACCCGTCTGCATACCCACCTCCGCTATTGTATCTCTTTGACTCTTCCCGCCGGTGTCAATAAAGTGAAGCATTGTTACCTTGCAAACGACTTCACTCCCTTTGATTAACAATAAAATAGCACACAAACTGCGATGAATCTCGGATCTGAAATGCTATAAATTCGAATATTGGAAGTATTCTTGGAGTTCTTCTTCCTGCTCATCATTGCTATTTGGACGAAGTGGTAAGTCCTCCTCCTCCTCCTCCTCGGAATACCCTCCCATTGAGATTAACGATTCTTCAAGACATCATGTGCAAAGCAGTTCGATACATCTACCCTGAGTGCGGTCATCCTGTTGATCCTGACCCGAAAGTTTGGATCGTTGAGAGATGTATCCCTGCGATATCGTTCAACAGAGATTGCTGGATCCCTCGCAACGTGCCTGAGAACTTCATCGAGAAGAAGCCTTGGCCTAACGACAACCTCACTGAACCTTGCTACATGTCTCACCAGCCAGCCTACTCCAGCGCTACCTTCGAGGTTATGCATGCAGAGATGCAAGACAGACACGACTCCCCTTCTTCCGCTACCCTCAGCCTCCAGAGTAAAGGCCACGCCCGAGTCCCAAGCCTCACGGAGGAAGAAATCAAGTCTCTCCAAGGAGAGGAGGAGGACTACTTCACTCCTGTGGAAGTCCGCTTTGCCGGGCCAATTGTCCTCCCAGATGAAGCTATCCTTCGCGACCTCGAACCTCTCTACCTAGACCCAGACGACCATTTTGTCATGGACGACATCAAGCTCCACGAGGACGACGGGATCAACAACGTTGAATCCACCATCTCTCACGAAATTCATGTCTTTACTGATGAAGACATCGCCTTATATACCCAGATGATCGAACAGGCAAACGAAGAACTTGCTATCGCTTCTACGGAGGATAACATTGAGTGGGCTCAAGTTGCTGCTGTAGACACATCTGCCCCGCTTGATTATTTTGAGGAGAGCGAGGATGAAGACATGGACGTGAAGAATTTGATTTGGTTTTAGGTCCTTATTTGGAACCCTTCAGATTGAGTAATACAGTTGCTTGGAATGGGCATATAAGGATGAACTATGGGATAATGGGCTATACCACTGGGTTTGATCGACAGAAAATCCAGAGATGCATACTTGGCATGAGATAGAATCTTGCTTTCTAGCTGCTATTCATTGACTGATATACACTCTTCATCATTGACTAATTGTCCCTCTTGTGACGGCTTCATTGGTGACAAACATCAAGGAACATAAATCACATCGACGAACTCACAACGACATCAAGATAGTATGGAAAGCATCAATTAGGGCTAGCAATCATAAAAATACATAACAATCGGTCATCGCCAATCACAAATGAGATCCAAATCCCATCAAACGCACCCACACATTTACTGTTCTTTGTCTTTCGCGTGTCCTGCACCTTTTCCACCTTCTCCTATCATTTCATTCTTGCATTTGTATCACCACCGCAATCATCCATGGCATTAAACGATCGTCATATCATCTAGGGTATCATTCCAAAAGAATGTTTCCTCCTAGTCAGGTTTTCATTTCGCTTTACAACTCGTCCTTCGCGCGCTGGAAGGTCTCCTTGACAGCTTCGGTAGCCTCGCTGGCTGCACTGCCAACCTTGTCAGCGGCAGAGGCCGCAGCTTCGTTGGCTTGGCTTCTGAGGCTCTCGGCGTTGGCGGCAGCCGTAGCGTAGGCTGCTTGGAATCGGGACAGGACGCTCTCTGTGAAAGAGGGCTCCTTGCCGCTGATGAGCTCGGAGACAAGCTCGCTCACGGATTCATACTGCTTTAGTGCCTCGGCCGAGGCGGTCACGGCGGATGCTGCAGCTGCTTCAGAGGCGATAGATGCCTTGTCAGCAGCAGCGTCGGTAGCCTTGGAGGCGTATGAGCTGGCGTCACCCCAGACATGCTCGTACCAGGCGATCTGGGTAGGCTCGCCATAAACTTGGCCACTGATCTGCTCAACAATGTTGTTCCAAGAATCACCCATGGCAAGGCCGGCGGCTGAGATCTGCTCGTTGGCAGCATCGACAACTGAAGAGATGGAATCATCAACAGCCTGAGCGGCAGACTTAACAGTATCGCCAGCAGCAGAGTAAGCAGATCCTGCAGCTTCACCTGCCGCCTGGGCAGCGGAAGCAGCAGACTCCCTAGCCACAGAAGCGACAGAAGATGCAGATCCAGCAAGGTCAGTAGGGGTGGGGGTGGCGGTCAGGGATGAGAGAGCAGAAGATGCGCCAGCTAGGAATCTAGAGTATCGGTCTTGGGCTGCACCAAGGCCAGCATAGTAGTTCATCTTGGCCTGCTCATAGTACTTCTCAGGGGCTGAAGAAGGAGTAGGCGTGGCGAGTCCAGCGGCGATCAGAGCACTTTGGTACTGGATCTCGGCCCAAAGTCGGCCTTCGTTGAGTCTCTGGGAAGCAATGGATTCAATACGCTCCCAGTCGAGCCAGGTGGGGACAGTAGTGGTAGTAGGGAGCTGCTGAGCAGCGGTGGTAGCAGCCTGCTTGGCCTTGTCAAACTGATCACCAGCGGCTGAGACTGCCTGGTCGTAAGAGGAAGAGACAGAAGATAGAAGCTGCTCGTGCACTGGCTTGGGGGTACCATAGATCTGAGCAGAGACGACTGAAAGAGCGCTAGAGTATTGCTCAGAGGCACGAGAAACGGCGTTTGAGTACACAGACTGCGCAGCATCGGTGGCGCTGGCAATTGCATCTGTATCAACATAGTCATCAAGGACAATCTGTCGGTGAGGGACCTCTTGAGCCGCAGCACCGAGGAAAGCAGGCTTGACATGCTCGTGTTGTTCAGAGAGAGGGGTCTCATCGCGATGGGTCAGGGGGTCCTCCTCAATCTCGACGAGTGGCTCCTTGTCACCAGCCTCAAGGGGCTCTTCACTACCATTGCTGACTACGGAAAAGGTGTCACCGATAAGCACTTCAGATGCTTCTGAGGCAAGGGGGGTCGACATACTGCTGTCTTCTGACTTTGCGACATTGGTGGCTGACTCGACTACTTCCGAGAGCTCGCTGGACGCTTCTTCAATAACCGGGGCGGCGGATTCGGAGGCAATGGAGGATAGAGACTCAACAGTCTCTGAGGCTTCCTTGGCAATGCTGCTGGCGCTCTCCTCACCTTCGAAAATGAGGCTTGAGGCGTCGCTGGCGATGGATTCGGCGCTGCTCGAAACGGCTGAGGTAGCCTTCTCAATTACGTTAGGCTCGTCGACAACAGATGAAACACTGGAAACGCTCTTGCTAGCAGATTCGGCAACTTCGGATGCTTCCTCCTTAACGGGCTCGGCAACGGAGGCGACAAAATCTTCCAAGTTCTGCTCGACCTCATGTGCTTCAGATGTAACTTCTTCAACGACTTCTGAAAGGCTGGAGGCAGCACTGTCGCCCTCAGCCGGGGTCTGGGCCTCAGCTTCCTTGGCTGCAATAGCTTGCTCGGCAGCAAGTTTCATAGCATCAGTGTCAAAGTTGTCCGATGTATCTCTGGCAGCAACCTTATAGCGGGCAACGTCCTTAAGGCGAGCCAGCTCCTTAGCAGCCACAGAGGCAATCTCCATTCCCTCGTCCTCAACTCGTGCAGCGGCGTCCTGGGCCTCGAGCAGAGCTGGGTGTGTAACGATCAATTGCTTCAATTGCTCAGTCCACTCATTGAGAGTACGCTTGAGCTCGTGGTATTTGGCCCAATCCTTGTAAGTGATACCATCGGTCCAAGCCCACCTCATTCCGATCTGTTGCAAGGCGAGGTTTCTAGTCTCGTCAAGAACTTGGAAATGGACATCGGCAACAGTGATAACAGTTTCTTGGAGTTCCTGATCGTAGCCTTGGCGCCATTGTCGAATGGCTTGAGCCTTCTGCTTGATGGCCATTCCAGAAGATCGCACAGCGGTGACGATCTGTTGGTTCACATCAGCACCATCTGCGTTAGTTCCAGCAAGTTCTACGATCTTGTTTCGAAGACCATTGAGTTCTCGATCAATTGTGCTCTCAAGGTCGTCAAAGAGCTTCTGGCCGTAAGTGTTGACATTCTCCTCAATCATGCGCTTGGCAATCTCGTCAACGCGCTCCTCCAAGTCAGTGGCACCCTCATCGGCTTGAGTAGCAAACTTTGTCTGCCAAGTCTCGAGGTCCTGAGCCACCATCTCTCGAGCCTTTCGTCGCTTCTCACTCTCATTCTCGGTGGGAGGAGGGGCCTGGACAGGATTGATGTATTCAGAAGCAGATTCGACTTCAGGTACAGGGCTCTCAGTAGCAATAGGAGCTTGAGAAGATGATACTTCAACAGATGTAGTGCTCTGGGGAGCGGGCTTTTGGAAAGATGAGGCAGTTGTTCCAGTGGTGTAGCTATGTGAGGTTAGACAAAGTAGTAATGATACGGAGCCCGGGGATCTCACCTTGAGGAATAGTTCTCTTGGGTAGGCTTGGTCTTCGTCTTGTAACGTCCCAAGCGCTCACCGATACGTACAAGCTGTGGTTCAACGTTCTGGACGTAGACAGCACGAATGTGAGGCCAAACGTTGCTGTCAAGGAAGGCATAAGTCTTGTTCCATGTCCAGTAAGCTGTGGGAAGAGCAGTCTTGGTGGTAAAGTTGGAAGCTGCATCATAACCTCGAATGGCGTATGGGTGAACAAATTCATAGCCTGGCTGGAGGTATTCGTAGTACATCTGCAGACCATTGGTGCGGGCGATGTCGTAGTATGGGCTGAGCTTCTCGCCAGCTTGGTTCACATAGGGGCCAACGGATTGGTCATAATGTGCACGCGCAAGGGCCTGGTACTTGATAAGCTGAGGCTGTCCGTTCTTCTCCCACAAGGCCTGGGTGTGCGCCTGCGCCTTCTCGACCCATGGAGCTCCATATTGAACAGCGTATGCGCGAGTGGGCTGCCAGACCTTGCTATCAACGGTATCGTAGTATGGGCGGGCGATCTCAACGTAAGGCGCTGCATAGTGGTCGTAGTATGGTTGAACGTGAGGTTGCACGGTGTTCTTAACCTGGAAGTAGGGTTTACAAATCGATGGGGAGTTCTCGTCGCACTGCTCGAGCGAGGGGGGGCATCGGAAGAGGACTGTATAAATGGCGAACCATGTCGCGAGTCTAGCAGAAGGATGGTCAGCTTGATCGTGTATGAAAACAGCGGTATCTTAATGCGATAACGATGGAAAAGATGGAGAAAAGACATCAAGCAAGAGAACAAGATGCCATGACGACGCGCGGAGGAAACATACCTAGCAACGACACTAAAAGTCCATGCAAAAATACTTCTTCTCTTCTTAATTGATCCTCTGCGACCTGCGACAGGCTTTCCATTCGCCTTGCCGTTGATATGGCCGTTGCCGTTCATGATCGAGCCGGCGGACTCGGCCATGATGACGAGCTAGACACGCGCTGGGGTCAGAGCAATCAATAATGGGAGTCGATAGACGAGAGCCAATATTGGCAAGCGAACGGTAGCAAAGACTCCAGCTTTCAGCTACGCGAGAGGAAGCAACGAGGAACAAATGTGTTCTTTGAACTGTATGAGCCTTGAACAGAGTCAGGTCAGGTCAGGGCTGTAAAAGTTTTGGAAGCTTTGAGTGAATGAAGCTGGCTTACCTATGGTGCGTTACAGTTCAGGACAAACTGCAGGGGTTGCGTGCTGTAAAATACTGGTGCCGTGAGGCAAGCGAGAGAGTCTAGGAGCTCTTCTGTGACACGACTCGAGACAAGAGCGAGACAGCGAAAGAAAGCAACCGGAGCTGCAAATAAAAATTGTGTTAAGCTCTTGGCTTTTGTATGGATGTATTATCTTGGGAGGAGAAGGAAGAAAAATAAGATTAACCTTAGGGAATAGAAGAGGAGATAACTGAAGTCACGGTTGACGTCGTTCCAGCTGCCTTGGTCTTGGCCATATCCATGGTCTGGAATCCAACCCAGCGAAGCTAAGGTTGGTAGGTCTCTAACGTTTACTAGCACGCACATCATATCTGTACAGTGGTGTCATGCAC